AAAAGGAAGTCCTATGGTTTGTGACAACATGGATGGACCTTGAGGAGGTTACGCTGAGTGAAACAAGCCAGTCACAAAAGGACAAACACAGTAGGCTTCCACTTATGTGAGAAATCTAAAGTACCCAAACTCAGACACAAAAAGCAGAATGGTGGTTACCAGGGGCGGGGCAGGGAGAGGGTTGTTGATTAGTAGGGATGGAGTTGCAGCATCGCAGGTGGAAACATTCAGAGGTCTGCTGCAAAAGCATGTGAGCGCAGTTAACACTGCTGAACTGCACACTTGAAAACAGTTGAGTCGTCAAGTTCCATGTTATGTGATTTTTACTGCAATGAAAAATGAAAAAAGAGATTCATTCACCCCCGGCCTGGCCCTCCCCTCACCTTGAGTCCAGTGCAGTTGCTGAAATGGTTCTTGGTACATTTCCTCCCTTTTTTCTGTTAACACAGTAAATTGCACCGATTGGTTTTTTTCTTAGCAATTATCTGAACACATGAAAATATGCACACGTTGGTATTTAACGAGGATTCCTAACACGGTTTGGACTTAATATTAGTAAGTCTCATTCTTTCCACAGTCTTCGTGGTACACATGTGGGAACATGGCAATTACCATGATGGAAAATTTCTTTTTTAATAAAGAATGTATTGAGGTTAAAATTACATAACAAAATCAATCATTTGAAGGAGGCACTCCGGGGCATTCTGTTCATTCCTGAAGTTGAGCAAGCACTGCCTCTGGCTGGTTCCGAACCGTTTTCATCACTCGCAGGTAAATCTCTGCCACGGAGAAGTTTCTCCCATTTGCCTCTCCCCTCACACCCTGGCAACCAGCCACCTGCCTTCTGTCTCCATGGCCCATCTACTGCAGGCATTTCCTGTGGAGGAATCATGGCAGGTGACCTTCGTGTCTGGCTTCTCTCACCCAGCGTAACAGCCTGGAGGTTTATCCACGCTGCCGCACGAATCCACACTTCATTCTTTTCCACGGCTGAATAAACTCACTGTACGGCTGTACTGCACTTTGTTTATCTGTTCTCCCTTGACAGATGTGTATGTCATTTCCACCTTTTGGCTATTATGAATAATGCTGCGAGCATTTGTGTGCAAGTTTTTGTGCGGGCGTGTTTTCATTTACCTTGGGTGTATACCCAGCAGTAAAAATGCTGGGTCATGTGGTAATTCTATATGTTTAACATTTTGAGGAACTGCCACACTTTTCCAAAGTGGCTGGGCCATTTTACATTCCCACCAGCGATGCGTGAACATTCCGATTCTCCGCATCCTCATCAACACCTACTAATGTCTGTCTTTTTATTTTAGCCATCCCAGAGCATGCGAGGTGGTATCTCGGTGAGGTTTTGCTTTGCATTTCTCTAATCACAAATGAGGCTGAGCACCTATCAGCGTGCTTATTGGACAACCATGTATGTGCTCTGGAAAGGTGCGTGTTCCGGCACTTGGCCTATTTTTAAATTGGGTTGTCTTTTTGTGGTTGAGTTGGAAGTGTTCCTTATATATTCTGGATGCTAAATCCTTATCAGATAAATAATTTTCAAACATTTTCTCACATTAGGTGTGTACCCTTGGCTGCAAAAAGTTTTCAATTTTGACAAAGTTCAAATGAATCTATTTCACGCCTGGCTGCTTGTGCTTTCGGTTTGCATCTCAGTGACCGATGCCAGGGCTGCAGCAGGGAACATGCAAGATGAGTCAGGACGCACAGTAGGACCAGAAGGAAGGAGCACTCAGCCAGCAAAAGGACACACAAAGACCCAGGGGAGCCAACCGAAAGGGCTGCGGGGGCCAAAGCTAGCCCAACTTGGACAGCAAAGTAAACAACAATAAGTGCTGGATACTAACTCAAAGTAAACATCCATGCATTCACACCGATATAAATAAGTGACCTGATAATAAATGGGGGAGAGACGATTCTTACAGAAGGATTCCAGTTAAGAGAGGGAGGCAAATATATTAAAAAAAAATGTACTTGAAAAGTAACTAAATAAAATTTAATATTAAAAAAATAATAAACATTAAATTAAATATTTGAAAAAAAAGAGAGGGAGGCAGAATGAGAGAACTAGGAAAACACTAATAGAATATCACAGTAATGATCGCCTCAGGCAAGATCCACCGAGATAGTAAAAAATCGGTGGTACAAGTTTAAGGAGAAAATGGATATTTGTATAATCGCAAAGTATCTCCTCCAAACTAGCTTTGAATTACAAGAGGAAAATAGGGAAATTTGGCAGTGGAGAACCCTCACTCACCTCAATGCAGTGAAGGTGTGTCCTGCACGTGGAAGAGGGCGTGGCACCTCCGTGCTCAATCTAACCAATCAGGAGAGCACACCAGCCAAACCGAACTGGGGGCCTCCGACGAGATACTGTTCACTTCTTTGGATGTGCAAGGCCCTGAGAGACCAGGGACGTTTGAGAAACCATTACGGACTGGGGGTTAAGGAGACATGGTGAGTGTGTGCCATGGAAATGGGACCCTGGAAACACCAGCGAAGTCCAACTGCGGTCTGCACGTAGGTCGACTGAGGTCTGCACATAGGTCGACTGTGTCCTTCAACGCCAGCGTTCTAGTTCAGGTCGCCAGCTGTGCTTGTGCAAGAGGGTAACATGAGGGGAAGGTGGTGAAGGGCGTGGTGGGATTCCACTGGTTTTACAGTTCTTTCAAGTCCGAAATCATCTGAACATTTAACACTAGAGAAGTCGAGTTTGGCTGGCTCCAAACCACCTCCCGCCTTAAGCCAGACCTGACGCCGTGGCAGAGGGCCCACTGGCCCGGGCAGGGTTGGTGCGGGTGTGCCCGTGCTGGGTGAGCAGCTGCATCGAGCTCTCCAGATCGTGGGGGCAACCTGCTGACCCCCACCTTGGACTGTCCAGGGGCCTGTCCAGCTAGGGCCGAGTCTTCCGGGGACCCACAGTTGGAGAAGGAGCAACTTCCCCGACAGGCTGGGAAAATGGGAGAAGCAGGCGGGCTGGGCTGAGTCTTTATTCTAAGGGCTTCTCTGGGGTCGCCTTTAGACCCCACCATGCATGAGATCAGTTTTATTTTTTCCGTTCCATAGGCAAGTGGAGCAATGGGTCTGGCTCACACAGCCAGAGGGGTTGGGGTAGGTGGGACCCCAAGGGTGCCCAGTGCCTGAGCACCTTTCAAGGTGGCCCTGTCAGAGATGCCTCTGCCCCAGGGTCAGAGCTCTGAAGGGTCAAGGCTGACCAACAGGCCTTCGGCTTTGCACACACCTCCCTGAGGTCTCCCCACCCCCATGCCTGGGGCACCCCATCCTGGAGGCCGGGACGCCCTGAAGGTAGCTCTGGGTGTTAGTCCATCACTGCCACCTCGTGCCCCTCTGCCCCCCTCGGAGGCCTCTCACCCTCTTTCTGGTGCCTTCTTCCCCACTGGTGCACTTCTCGGACGACACACCCTGGGCAGACAAGGGCTCAGGAAGCTCCTTTGTGAGATTCAAGCCCTTTGCCACCTGGCCTCATTTCAGGCCCCCTCTGCCTTGGTGACAGTAGGTAAGCCTCATACTGGAACCTTGCCCCAGGCCTCACCTGAGACGCCAGCGCCCTGCTCTCCCTATGACAGTCCCTGCCTCCTCCCCTCACCCAGCACCCTCTTCTTCCCAGCGGCTAACAGGGTGTTAGACTGCAGGTCTGGGAGCCACGAGCAGGTGGGGCCTCACTCTTCACTGACTGCATGCTCCTGGCACGGAGTTTCCACTGAAGTGAGCTAATTCTATCTCCTGCAGCAAGCAGTCCCCGGGGAGGGTGACGCATTTAGGGTCATCACCTCAAGCGACTGGGCTCAGCCAGTGCCCCGGGTACAACGAAAGGAAACCGCAGGTCACAGTGCTGTTTGATTTTAAGGGGAAAGAACCTTGTTTGCAGCAGCTCTTAGAGTTTCGGGGGCTAGGCTGGTAAGAGAGTTCTGGAAGTGCAGACACCATGCATATTTGAGGCAGCAGAAGCCCAGAGAACAGGGCACTGTTGGAATCTATCTCGTGATGGACACTGTGCTGACCACACTTCATTCGTACCCACCCTGCACCTGCCCCCTCCATCCTGGCTGTGCCCCAGGGCTGGCCTCTCCCCTCCAACAGGCAGCCTGGCCTTGGCTTGGGTTCAGCTTATGAGAGAGGCATCTGGAGGAGGGCGGGAGGGGAGAGGCTGGGCATTCACTGCACCTGCGCCTTTCCTACAGGCCCCCATCCTGCTGGAGTCCTCTCTGCAGCCACAGCGGTGGCCTGGGTCCAGTCACAGCCCCTTTGCTTTGCCCCTTGGGGGCAGCAGTGGCCTCCCAGAGCATCCTTCGTGGGTTCCCTTCGCCCTGTTCACACCTGCACACGTGGCCCTTTCCTTCAAGTCTTGTTCCCCCTTGAGGTCCCACTGCTTCTGCCAGGACGGCACTGGCACAGCTCCTGAGAAAGGGCACGAAGCTTCTGGGCACGTTCAGCTGGGAGCCTTGAGGGCCTTGTTCAGTCTTTCAGGGAGGCAGCCTCCACTGCAAAGCCTGTAAAATGACCACACAGCTTGCAAACGCTGAGTATTTATTTGATCTATAAACAGCTTGCTGCAGGAGACAGAATGAGCTCACTGAACCTGAAAGTGTTCTCACGTAACTCAACACACTGGTGTTAACAAATCCATCACTGTTTTGCATATCGGGGAATTTTTCTTCTTGCAGGCCCACTTATAACTCTAAGGTATTCAAATGCAAACCCCTGGCCCTCTCAAAGGAACTGCTGCAAACAAGATCCTTCCCTCTCAGGGCTCTCAGACGCACATCCAGGCGAGGCGGCTCAGCCCGCAGGTCTTCAACGCCAGGCCCTCCGAGGTCCTCGCCAGCCATTCTCACCTGAGTCGAACCGGCTGGCAGCCCACCAGGAACAGGGCCGAGACCAGCTCCTGGCACCAGGGTGCCCACATGCGGGGAGAGGCTGGGAAACTCAGGGCACCAGCAGAGAGAAGCAGACGACTGCATGGGTCCTGGACCTCAGTCACAAGCTTTATTGTCTCGAGCACGGACTTGCCACACTTCAACGATTCCACTTTGGGGCAGGGCAGGGAAGGGGGACGGTCTGGGGACGGGGCACGGCCAAGTCCACACTGGGCAGGCAGAGATGCTCACTGGGAAATCACTTCTTTGATACCTGCCCCCTGCAAGCCCCTCCCGATGTAGGCCTTTAGCTGTTAGTAGACTAATCAGCGCCTCCTTTGGTGGGCGACTGCCTGAATTTGCTGGAAAGAGTAGTACTGTATTAACTCTGGATTAGGCCACTAAAGCATCGCTTCTAGACTGTTGTTAATAAAACCACATGCGAGAGCTACCGAAAGCCAACAGGGAGGGGGAAGAGGCGGTAGGACTAAGTAAGTGGCTGTTCCCAAGAAGGGCGGCTTTTGGACAAGGCAGTGAGCACCACCCACCTGTACCTGGGAGCGCTCACAGGCTTCCTGTGCTGCACCCAGGGCAGACTGCGTACCTGTCCTGGTGCACCTCGGGAACGCCATGGTGGGGCACCACCAGGCCTCCCCCTCAGCCCAGCAGCGATGCTGTGGCATGAGGTAATAACCTGCAGGCCCTCTAGCTCTAGAGGTGGGCACTGCTGGACAAGCTGGCTTTTCCGGCCACGCACAGGCCTGGAGAAACTCAGCAGGGCTTGAGAGGAAGGGGGAGAGGCGGTTAGATTTTTCTTGCCCACTACATCCCTTGGGTTCCCTTCCTGGCTCCAGGAGACAAGGCCTAAAAAGCCCTGGGCAGGTGCCCGGTGAGACTGAAAAGGGGCCGTGGGCACCTGTGCATTCTGATACGTGTGCCTGGCACACATACCCCTGAACACTCACCCGTGTGTTCCTGGGTGTGTGTGTGTGTGCACAGCCAGGCTGCGGGAATGTTTGTGGTGTGTGTGGGCACGACCCTGCTAGGCCTGGGGCGCAGTCCCGGAACCCAAGCATGTGCATCTCGGTGGACTGGGTGTGGCTGACTGCAAACACCCCACGCGCAAGGCCATGTGTGACCCCCGAGTGTGCATGTGTCGAGGGTCGCAGGTGGGCACTTCAGTCTGCACAGATGGACCTGCAGGTGGGAGGCCCGGTTTGGGAATACCTAGTCAGCCCAGGGGTCACCATATTACTGACCAGTCAAAGCACGCCTGGACCCCTGGCCTGAACTCCTCTGTTGCCGCCTTGCTCCTCCTCCAAGCCAGGTGAGGAGAGGGGTTTCCGAACTTTCCTAATACTGTGGCTCCTGGCCGTGGTAACCACCCTCTGGCCAGCAGCTTGGAGTTGTGTGTAAGGGGGTTGGTGCTGGGGGGAAAGAAAGACCTTGTACCCCAATATCTTGAACCTGGCACTTCACTGGGCAGACAGGCTCAGGGGAACTCGTACCACACCTGAAGGAGGCTCAGGGTGTGGGACCAGCATCTCTGGGAGCTGCCTTGGCGTGGAAGCAGCTGCAGAACAGGGGTCCTCACCTGGCTCCTAAGGACCGGACTTCCCTCCTTAGTGCCTGCGAGGAGGGCCTGGGCCCCCTCTGACCCTTTCCGGGATGATGGCTCTCTGGGGTCCAAGGGGGATCTGGGAGGAGGGAAGGAAGGAGAGGAGGGAGGGCAGGGATGGGCCCAGGATGCCAGGGTGGTCCTCAGGGCCGCTCGTTCTGGGGAGAGGGGCCTAGCCGATCGCCTCAGCTTCCTCAAGCAAATGCCAGACACTGCTGGGCTGCCCTGGGTGTCCAAGGCTGAAGGTTCCAGGGGCCGGGCCGGGGCTGTACCGCTTTCCGTGGAAGTTCGTGATTGAGGAAGCCTCCTGGTCCAGCCGGGTGGGGGTCGAGGGTGGGGGATTGTCCGAGGCGGTGGGCACGTTGTTACAAACACTGTTCTTGTCTCCAAAGTGACAGTCTTGGCTGCTGCCTGGAGGGGGTGCCACCGGGGCAGAACGGAGTGGCTCTGGTGTGGGCTGGGCTGCTCCACAGTGTCCTTCACGGTCAGTGCTTATCCTGGAGAGAGCAAGGGCTGGATCAGCAAGTGTGTTCAGGAATGGTAGAGGGGGGTAGGTAAAAAATGGAGGACTGGGGGAGAACCCACCTGTGCCAGGCAGAGGGAACAGCATGGGCAAAGGCCCTGGGGCAGAACAAGTCTCTTTGCTGTGTGTTGGGAAACAGACAAGAGGGAGGGTGGGAGTCGTTTCTATAGAGGAAGCTAAGAATAGCCACAAACAGGTGGGTTTACAGAGCCCCGAGGGCCTGTGTCTCCAAGAAAATAAAAATTGGAGGTGGAACCCCAGGCCTTGGTTTTTGTGCCTGTAAACTGAGATGACCCTGTGCCTTACAGGGTTGACGAAGCCATGCAAGTTTTCGATATCAGCACCCTGCCACTGTCCCTTAAAGCTCTGTGCCTCTCCCCACCCCATTTCTCCCTCTGCCTCTCACCGACAGGCCTGGCCCTCAGCAGATTCTCTGCCCAAGGCTCTCCTGTCTCTAGGTGAGCGCCTGTAGCCAAAGGCTGTCCCATCCAGAGGAAGGGCAAGTTCCTAACCCTGCTCCAGCCTCGACTTCCCAAGGTCGCACAGTAAGCCAGGGACAGAGCCAGTGCTGGGCTCTTCCCACCTCACTAGGCTGGCGTCTGGGCCCCGGGTGAGTGCCTGCAATGCTGGGGGTAAAAGCAGGAGTTAACTGTGGGGTGGGGGCCACCAGGCACCCCCTTAAAACATGAGGGTCAAGCCCTGGCCAGTGTGGCTCAGTTGGCTGGAGTGTCATCCCGTACCCAAAGGGCTGGGGTCAGGGCACATGCCTAAGTCGCAGGTTTGGCCCCCTGTCCGGGGGGGCGTGAGACCCCCGGTCTGGACACATACGGGAGGCAACCAATCGATGCTTCCCTCTCGCACTGATGTTTCTCTCTCCCTTCCTCTCTAAGAGCAATGGAAAAATGTCCTTGGGTGAGGATTACAAAAAACAAAAAATGTAAGGGTCAACAAAGACAGGATAATTGTGGGGGGTCACAGACACGCCTCAGCCCCGTGGAGCTCTAGAAAACCAGTGGTAGTGGTACACTTGCAATTTTATAAAATGTGGAATTTGCAGAGACTTCTTAAAGAACAGAGAAAATGCTTCTGTTTCAAATAGTCAGTGAAAAAAACAGGGGTGAAGGTGAACATAGAGCGTGTGACCTACTCTATTAAAATGATGTACATGATGCGGCTCAGGCAACAGTCGCCCGCAAACATGAATCTGGGGGAGGGTCGGAGCAGGGTATTCACGTGGTCTGGAAGTCTCCACAGGCTGTTAGAAAAACCAATAACCACACAGTGGAGAAACCAGGTAACTCCTTGACCAGGTGATCAAAACTCAGGTCAGGAGGGAAGGGCAGATGGATACCACACCCCAGCTGGGAGCCCCAGACACGGACACGACTCTGACACAATGCTCCTGGCTCTGACCCGGGCGACCCATCACACGGACCTGAGTGAGGAATCTTCTATTAAAAAAGGAGTGGATAGCCCCGGCTGGTGTAGCTCAGCAGGACTGAGCATGGGCCTGTGAACCAAAGGGTCACCAGTTAGATTCCCAGTCAGGGCACATGCCTGGGTTGTGGGTCAGGTTCCCAGTAGGGGGCAATGCAAGAGGCAACTACACGTTGATATTTCTCTCCCTCTTTCTCCTTCCCTTTCCCTTTCTCTAAAAATAAATAAAATCTTTTAAAAAATAAAGGAGTGTCTATTTTAAAATATACATTTCAAAAATGTCAATGTCATAAAAATCAAAGAGAACTTGAGAGAATATTCCAGATTAAAGGAGACCAAAGAGACATTAACAACTAAATGCAATAAGCTGACTCAGCCTTGGCTAATAATGTACTAAGAAAATGAGTGAATCTTGTATCGATGTTACATCTGCTGGGATCGATGACTGTACTGCCGTTATGTAGAACTGCATCCTTTCACTCAGGAAACACAGACCCCAGCGTTAAGGGCCATGACACATGCAACTATACTCAAATGACTCAGAACACAGTTACCGGCATTCCCACACACGCACACCTGGAGCAAAGATCCAGCAGGTGGGGCAAAATGTTTGCAGTGTGACGGGGGAGGGGCATGGGACGTGCCTGGTGCTATTTTCATTCTAGCGAGCTTTTTGGAATTTTGAAATGATTTCCAAATAAAAAGTGAATGTATACACGTGTACATGCATACACGTACACATGTAGCAGCTTCTCATTATGTTCTATTAAGTCGTCGCCGAGCACTGAGCCGCCGCCCCTGCGGGAAATCCGAGGTTAGGTTCCTCTGAACCCTGATCACGACGTCTCAGCCAACGGACAGACACACAGCCTTGCTTTAGGTGTGACTCTGGGTGCGGACGCCCCATTTGATGCATGCTGTTGACTCATTAACAATTAACTCAAGGCCAATAGTACAGCAGGTCTTCAAATAACGTCATTTCGTTATAACGTTGATGAGGAAAAAATTGATTCTTAGCCACGTCCACTGTCTGTGTGGCATTTGCACACCCCGCCGTGACTGTGGGCCTGGTTTCTCCGGGCACTCGGGTTCCCTCCCTCGCCCCAAAGACACGCACGTGAGGTGAACTGGCGGGTCTGCGCCGTGGTGGAGGGGCGCCCCGTCCAGGCTGAGTTCCCTCCTCGTGCCCTGAATTGGAGTAAGCAGGTTGGAAAATACTTACCTGCTTTTATTTTTCTTGTATGTATGTACAGCTTACAATTACTTCAGTGTTTAATACTAGCAGTGTTTTGGGTCTTTTTAGAAGTGTGGTGATGTTTTTGTGACCGGAAAGATGCCACAGGAATTTACTCCCGTGTATATCGATGGTAACATTGGTTTTGTCACATGTCATTTCACTTAAAGTTGTGGTTTCCGAGCCCATCAACGACGTTAAATGAGGATGCAGCCATCTTCTCGTGCTCAGGGACACGAGGCAGACTTCAGCACTGCGCTGGGGGTCATGTTAAACAGCAGAAATCACCAAGACAAAACACGAAAATGTGAAAAATGTGGCACTAAATAGGTTTCAGAAAGGACCCGTTTGCAGCACGGGAGCTGAAGCAGGAAGGCGGAGCGCAGCCTTGCCACCCCTCGGCCAGGAGCATGCGGGACAGGACACGCGAATTCCTCTCTGCTCCGCCCCTGTCCACGATGACCACAAACTTGTTGCAAATGCTGATTTTGGGATTACAAATAAACTTTAGTGAGTAGGCAAATCTGACGATGTGGAATCCGTGAAGGATGAGAGCTGACCGTCGCGTACATACACATGTGCACAAACACACCTCGGGGTTCAGGGAGGCTATCACCTCAGAACACTAACCTTGGTCATCTCTGTGTAGTAATAACTGGTATTGTCTTCTGTATATATTTTTGTTTGTTTTCCCAATGGGCATGCGTCACTTTATAATAAGCATGTTTTTAAAGGGAAACAAGGCTAAGAGAGCAGGATAAATCTGGAATCAAGATTGACTACACCAGCTCCTCCATGAGAGACCCTATTGTAAAGCCTTTGCACAAGGCATCTTGTGCAAATATGCCTTTGTATTTTTTGTGACTTTTCAGTTTTTTTTCTGCCTGTAAGGGAGGGCCATGGGAGTGCTGGGCATCTCCCAGGGCCAGAATGCCCCTTACCTCTTGTTTGTGGGCCTTGTCTTGCTGGTGGATGCCGTTTGCAGAACCGGAATTGCCGATGGCCTGTAAGAGTCATGGGCAGATGCTGAGTGAGGTTCGCCAGGCTGCAGTTCCTAGTTGGTCCACTAGATGGCGAGGTCTTCTTGAAAGGATCATCTCAGGCTCCAAACTGACCAAAGAATGGGGGTCCCAGGACCCCCACAGATGGAGGCTCTCAGGGCAAGGGTGCATCTCTCCCCTTAGTCTGAGATCCTCACAGTAAAGCCATGTATGCCTTGGGCTGGGACTCCCGGAGCACATGCCTGTGTCTCTCCCCTTCAGGTCAGGGTTTTGGAGAGAGACAGGGCTCCCAGCCCTGGACCAGGGTTTCTTGGACAGGGCCATGCTCCAGGAGGACACTGCCCTGGCTCACCTGATCAGCCCAGCCCGTGCCCGTGGCTCACCGGGGATTTGTCAGGACTGCTCCTCATGGCCTCCACGAGCCTTTCCACCTGCTGAGCCTGGTCCAGTGCGTCCCGCAGGGCGTCCTCTGTGCTCATCAGCTGGTGCTGCAGCCGCAGGAGCTCAGGGGTGGAGGATGGGTCAATGAGGGAGTAGCGCCTCTGATCTGACAGGGACTTCTCTTTGTCCTGGAAGTGGCCGGAGAAAGAAAGAGCATGTGTGTGCGCCCATGTTTCTGTGCGTCAGGGGAAGGCAACCTCTGCTCTGGCCTCACCTAACTCTGGGCCAGGCCTGAGCATCAGCTGGACATTCCTCAGACTTCCCTCCCTCACCTGAGGGTCCCCAGTGAAGCATGCTGTCAGGGGCTTCATGTCCTCCCAAGTCCCAAAATCTAACACCCTCCTTTCGTTCCTTCTTGAGTCCCCCCGACTCCCTCCACACTCTCACATGGGTTGCTCTTCTTCACCGCCAGACCCAAAATCTCATCATCTCTTACCTTCCAGCCACCTGACCCGCTGCAACAGCAATTTCTTTACCCCTCCTTCCTCACCCAGCAGGACACACCTGCCCCATACACCGTGGTCCCAGGAGGCACGTGCCTCATTCCTGCACAAACTTGCCCCTTCATATTATGTGTGAATCCCCACCGCAGGACCCTGAACAAAGAGCTGCTTTCTGGTTGATTACTTCTATGGATGGGGGGTTCAGTGCCTTACAGTAGCCCATCTTAGCTCTGGATAGGTCAAATTCTTAGATAGTATCCCTTTGCATTGCATCACCTAGATTATCGCACAGCCAGCCACGATATCTGCAAAAGCAGATGCCTACAACCCCTCCACCAGCTATGTCATTGACCCTGTGGTTCTAGGGAATTTTGAATTCTCTCCGAGGCATAGCTGTTCCTGGGGGGGGGCGGTGCCAGGAGGTCACCACTCTCCGTGGCCTGACAGCAGGGCAACCTCAGCAACCCCCAGCACCCCTTGCCCCCACATACCAGCCCAGTCAGCTTTTCACGAAGGCCCCGGATGTCGTCCTTAAGTTTCTGCTCCTTGATCCGCCACTCAGCCTTGTGGACCTCGCGGCTCAGATCCCTCTCGGGCCCTGGGGAGTGGCGGTTGGCCTCCAGCAACAACACCCGTAATTCGTTCAGGCTCCTGGGGACAGGTGTGAGGGGCACAGAACGGCTTCAGTCAGTCCTGGACCCTGCACGCCCACACTCCAGCCATTTGCCAAATGCCTGGAGACTGGCCACTCTGAGGGGGAGACTGGCTGTTAGAACATCACCTGCACCAGAAGGGGGCAGAGTGGAAACAGGAGGCCGTTCAGCCAGAGTCCAAGAAGGGTCAGGATTGATGGATGAGACAGTGAAAAAGACCTGGCCTTTCCTACGATGTTTTTAAACTATTTTTAAAAAGGAGATATTTGTTTAACTAAAAAATTAAGCAAAGCAAAACAAAACAGCCCAAGAGAGCCCATGAAGGAAGACATGTATTTTAAATGGCCAAAAGCATATGCATTTTATTTCCCACATCAGCCCGTAACCCACGGGCAGTAGCTGCCTGGAGCACTATGATGAGAACGATTCTCAGGTGTCTATAATCTGCAGAAAAGGGCGTGGTGGTGAATTAGCAATGTCTGCCTCAGGCACAGGATTAGAAAACAGGACACACTCCTTCTAAGGTGTTTCCCTTGCCAGCATCTGCTCTGAGGAGGGGAAAACCCCCTTGCTAGGTGGCCATGGGTAGTTGAGAACAGAGTAGAAGTCTGCTGGCAATGTCCCTTTTCCTTTCCTCCTCCTTGCTATGAATGTGATCGCTGGGACTTTAGCAGCCATCTTGCAACCATGAGGAAGAGTCCAAGAGAACCAACCAGTTGGCACTGATAGTTTTAGCTGTCAGCCACAGCTACTCTCAGATTTCCTGTAATGTGAGGAAAATAAATCTCTACTCATTAATCTCCACTCCTACCCTTAACACCACGGGAACATGGATGAGCTCGTGGCAGCCTACTTTAATAAAGGCTTCCCCTGGCTGGTGTAGCTCAGTGGATTGAGCACGGGCCTGTGAACCAAGCAACCACGGTTCGATTCCCAGTCAGGGCACATGCCTGGGTTGCAGGCCAGTTCCCAGTAGGGGACACACAAGAGGCAACCATACATTGATATTTCTCTCCCTCTCTCCTTCCCTTCCCTTCTAAAGATAAATAAATAAAATCTTTAAAATAAATAAATAAAATAAAAAAAGAAAGGCTTCAAGGAAGAGATGGGCTGTGAGCCAGGCCTTGAAGAAGGGAATGAACTGAGCAAAATGTCTGAAAAGAAGAAGGTAGGAATCGTGTGAATGATGGGAGACAGAGGAAGAACTGAGCACATGACAGCAGGAAGACAGAGCCCTCGGAGGAGGCAACACTAGGCTGAACACTGAGAATAAAGTATCTGGGAAGGGGGAGGATGTGGGGAGCGAGACAGCGGTGGGGCCTCGATGCAGGGGCCTGGCTGGTCATGACTTCACACTGGGAAGGGATATAGCCCAGGTGCACCTGTTTAACTCCCTCCTGGGCGGGCCCCATTTACTAGAGAGGCGCTAAATTTGTAGCAAGTGTAGCATATAAACTACCAATCTGTACATCAGACTTAACAGGAGGGGAGACAGCACTTCCTTTATAAAAATATGCTTGTACTTTGCTAAGATTCCTTTAAATCAGAGGTTGGACTTACAATGTTTACAGGGGCTGGCGAACCATGGCCCTGTGGGGGTGTAAGTGAAATAAGGAAGGGGGTGGGGGACTGAGAGACCCGGAGGGCGCTGCCCGCCACTAGGGGGCAGGTGCTCTCCGGCCCGGCAGGTTATCGGCTGCGGGAGTCAGCCTAGTTGTTGTCAGAACTTCCAATTTTTTTTACGGAATCTGGAAAAATCTAGATTTTATGTGTAGTCTTCTGATTTTTTAAATGCTCATCTAATTTTCCCCCCTCTAAAGCCTCATATGGGTTACACAAACTACATCTATAAACTGGAACCAAGAGGTTCTCAAAGTGTGGGGCAGGGAACACTCGGGGTCCCTGAGACCGTTTCAGGGGTCCATGGTCCAAACTATCTCACAACAATAAAAAACTGTTTTCATTGTCACTTCTCATGCAAAACAATGGATTTTCCCCCTGGGGTCACGTGGCATATTAATTATCTAAAGACAATATTAAAATATGCTCTTTTCCAACTACATACATATGGAAGGCCAGATGTTTATATACAGTTCACCAAAACATCAAACTGCAAAGACTGAATGCAAAGGGTTACACAATGCCATTCTTCTCATTAAATATTTTTTTATTTTGGAAAACAGTTAATTTTTATCTAAAGCGTGTTAATTTATGGTATATGCAAATGGTTTATTTTTAAATGAATTAATAATACTTTTAAATTCCTCAATTGAGATTTCTAATACGATAAACATAGAATAAATAAGCACAAGCTTTTTGGGAATCCTCAATAATTTTTAAGAGTTTAGCCCTGGCTGGGTAGCTCAGTTGCTTAGAACGTTGTGCCAATACACCAAGGTTGAAGGTTCAATCCCAGGTCAAGGCACATACAGGAAGAAATCAATAAATGCATAAATAAATGGAACAACAAATTGATGTTTCTCTCTGTCTCTCTCAAATCAATAAATAAAATTAAAAAAAAAATTTAAGAGCTTAAAGGGATCCCTGAGACCAAGATGTCTGGGAACCGCTCATCTTTCCTAGAGATAAGTTAGTGCCTGGAGAACCGTGTTAGGAAGGATTCTGAGGCTTCGTCTGAGCTAAGCAGAGAAGACAATGATCACTGGTGATGCCAGCCATCTGCCCATCCTCCCCCACCTCTGGAGAAGACTGGCCGACTGGCTAATGTCAGGTGGAGAGAAGGTCCAGGCCAGAGGGAAGACAACTGGGTGCAGGTGTGGCCATACAGCCGGCGCTGACTCACCGCTCCTTCCTCAGCAGCTCCTGGCTGATGAGGACCAGCTGGCCTGAGGCGTCATGGGTCTTCCGGGACACGGCCTCCAGCTCCGCCTCCAAGCGCCGCTTCTCTTTCTGGAGGGCATCTGCCTTCTTCTCTCCCGATTTGCACTTGGTCTCCAGTACTGAGTGTCAGCCGGCAGGAAAGAGAGAGAAGGTCGGGAACTCGAAGGGCATCTGTCCCAATCAACAGCCCGGGCAGGGGCCCAGTTTTCTCAGGGGGTCACAGTGACACCCTCCACTGGGTGGGTCTCTCTCATCCAGCAAAGCCAGGCATCTAGGGGCCAAGAGAACAGCCACAGAAAGCAGGCGCGGACCCCCAGGCACCGCAGTGGGCCCCGTGGTGGCGGGAAGCAGTCCATGCTTTCTGAGACAAGACCCAGCGCTACAACGCTGCCTGAACAAGGAAGGGCTCTAGCTTGGCCTTGGCCTGGGAGGAACCCGAGGTCAGCTGACCTGTGTGGGAACCAGTTACGCCCTGTGAACAGCATGGGACCTGGAGAGACGTGGGGATGGGACTCACTTCCCAGGATGGGGGCTGTCTCATGGACACCACCACTGGCACTCTGGTGGACGAGAAGGCTAGTCTGTCAGCAAATCACAGATTCCAGTCCCCCCGCCTCATCCCAGGCTCCCCCGCTGCCCTCACTGCCCCGTGCCTTGCTCTCCGCTGCAGCCAGGGTCCTTCCCCCCACTGTAAAATCTCGGTATTTCTTCTAGGGGTTGGGGGTAGATGTATTGTCTCAAAGTGGCCTACGAGGGACCGAAAAGTCCTGATGGAATTTCCCAACACATGGTGGCCGCTGGAGAGAGAAGATGGCCAGACTCCCCCATTAGATTACGGACCATGAGAGGGCCACTGTTCCCCTGCTCACTGCTGCCCAGTGGAAGGAAGTCCAGCGTGGATGAGCTGGCCCAGGCCACCTCTTCCTCAAGGCAGAGTGCGGGAGGGCACCCTGACCCGGTGCCAACCCTCTCCACGCCCCACTGGCACGTGGCCCCAAGGGAAGCCCCCCGCGCCTGCCCTGCGGGGGGGGGGGGGGAGACTTACCACTTACTTGGGCCCTGAGCATCTCAGTCTGGGATGTCAAGGCTGTCACCTCTTTGTCCCTCTTGTTTAGCTTGTCCTGCAGGCCTAGGGGAGACGGGAGAGATGAGGGTCCATTAACATTCCAGGTTCAGTGGCGTGGTCCAGTGGGCACCACCCTCTCTCTGGGAAGCCAACTCTGAAACACAGGCTCCCAGGCTGTGCAGTTGCAAGCAACTTAACTCTCAGAGTTTCCTCGAGAAAAAAATGGAGATGGCAATAATGGCGCCCGTGTGACAAGGTCATGTGCGTTCAATACTGGGGAGGCCTCAGAGCAGTTGTAAAAACAATAATGCATGCACTGCTAGAAACACATTAACTTTCCATAAGTTAATTTATAAATTGAATGTAATACCAATAAAAACACAAACAAGATTTTAATGCTTATAGAACTGGATAAGCTGGTAGAACTAAAAATCTCTTGGAAAAATAAGCAAGAATAGCTAAGAGAGTTTGGCAAAAAAACTTCTTCAGTTAAACACAGAACTACCACCTGACTCAGCAGTTACACTCTAGCTATGTAGCCCCCGAACAGGTACTCGACAGGCGCCTGGACCCAGAACTTTAGAGCAGCATTTTTCACAACAGCCAAAAGGGGGAAGGAGCCCAAATCTCCACCAACAGGTAGGCAGATAAACAAAATGTGGCACATGCACACGACGGAATATGACTCAGCCATAAAGAAGAACAAAGCACTGACTCGAGCTACAATGTGGCAGAACCTCGAATATGTTACGCTATGTGAAATAAGCTAGACACAAAGGCCGCATATTGTAAGATTCTAGTTACATGAAATATCTGAAGAAGGCACATCCACATAGACAAAAAGCAAATCAGTGGTCGTCGGCAGCTGGAGGGAGGGGAGAATGGAGGGACTGGTAATGCAGTTTCCTCGTGCATGACGAAAATGTTTCTGAACCACATAGAGGCAGTGGATGCACCGTCCTGAATGCCACAAAACGCTGCAACGTCCTGAATGCCACAGAATGTTTGCTTTAGACTGGTTCATTTTAGGTGATGTTAGTTTTCCCCCAATTAAAAAAAATGGCCAAGAGAATTTTGAAAGACCAGAGTAGGAAAGAGTAGGCTTGCCAGTAATTGAAAAATGAACAAAACTTGAATAATTAAGGCTGCCAACTCAGATCAGCAGAGAAGGGGGAGATAAGTTTTTTAAACATGTGCTGGGACAAGTAGATGCTCCTTAAGGAAAAAGGCAGGAATGGATCCTTACCTCACACCTTGTAGAAGGATGAATTCTAAGTGGGTCAGGGATTTCAACCTAAAATATGGAACTAAAAGGTACTCGAAGAAACCATGGGGTTTATTACTTATTTATTTTTTGGCTTCCAGACTTACTCTTTTTTTTAAAAAAATTTTTAGGCAGAGGGGAAGGGAAGAAGAGAGGGAGAGAAACATCAATGTGTGGTTGCCTCTCATGTGTCCCCTACTGGGGACCTGGCCTGCAACCCAGGCACGTGCCCCGACTGGGAATCAAACCAGCGACCCTTTGCTTCACAGGCCGGTGCTAAGTCCACTAAGCTACACCAGCCAGGGCTGGATTTATTTGTTATAAAATAATATATCACGAATGTATTACTTCTAATGCATTACTTCTATTATTTATTATTTATAAAAATAATAGATCCAGAAGCCAAAAAAAAAAAAAAGATCGATTTAAGAAAATCCACATGGCAAACTCCACTATGAGAAAAGCCAAACCACAAGTGGGTGGAGACTGTGCGCCAAGTCACAGACAAGGAGTTTCTAACAATGAACAGTAAGATCCACGGCCCAACAGGGAACAACGGGCAGAAGATCCAGGTAGGAATGGGGTGGCGCTTCGTTCACGGTGAGGTGAAGGTAAACTGAAAGGACATCAGGCGACATCTGTGACCGTTCAGACCTGCACAGGTCACCAAGTTTGAGGACACAGGGTTGGTGAGGCCCATGGGGAAACGCCCTTTCAACCAGGGCCAGCTGGAGTCAGAACCGATGGAGCGGAGGAGGAGGGGATTTATTTCCGCGGGGCTGTTTGCAATAAAGACTGAAAACAGCCTGCTGCCCACCAGCAGGGCACTGGCTGAGGACAGACGGTGGCTCCGCACAGTGGCACGCCCTGCACTGCAGGGCTGGAAAGTGGCAGGGAAGAGTCTCCTGGACGCTTCACTGAGTGGAGAAAAGTAAGGGGACGGACAGAGTGAGGGGGAGGGGACGGAAGGTGGCCAGGCAACAGGGGACCCTTCACTTTACACCGTTGGAACCATTTGTAGTTTATACCTACTTTAAAGACGATGTAAAACCAAACAAATAACAAGGTATTTCTGCACAATGCCCAGCACTCAATAAACGGAGCCGCGGTCCCCCGGGGTGAGTGGCTCACGCCTGCAACAGGTGCCTCTCGCCAAATGGCAGGTGATGCAAACCAAGTGGCACCCAGCTCAAAGACAGACCCAACCAGCCTGTCCCCAAAGCCCCCGTGTCCCACCTGGCCAGTGGCCACTCACCTTCCACAGTGTCCTTCATCCTGATCTTGTCCCCTGAAATGTCATTCGACTCAATCATCTGAAAGAACAGGCCTGTCAGGGGGATGCTCACCCCCGCCTCTGCCTCCCGCCCCGGGTGGCCCCGCAGCGCGCCTCAGCCCTACCTTACACGGGTGGGGGGACTTGCTGTGGTGGGGAGCACAGGTGTCCCTAGTATGGCCCCCTGACAACAGAGGACCCCTCCTCTGCTCCCTGTATGCCCAAGGCTGCTTGTGCATGACTTCTGTGAGAACGCCTCCTGCCCCTTTCTCTGCTGAAAATATCCATTACATCAAATGGATGTCCTTTCCCCTGGGACACCCTCAGAGGCTGGTCCTGGGAATGTTTCCATCGATAGCATCCAAGATCGCAGCCTCGGTGTCCCCTTCCTGAAACGAGCGTCGACTGCCGCGGGCCGTGTGAGCAGAGCACGCCCAGGCTCGTCTCCTACAGGGACTTGTTCAAGAACGGTTACTTCTTTGCTCTCCAACACGTCTTTTAAATAATAAACCCAGAAGCCAAAGAAGATAAGATTAAGAAAAAAGAAATCTGGGCAAGTGTCAGCTGGCTCCGTGCTGCTTCCTTCTCCAGCAGTGTCTGGCCTCCTGCCGAGCTGGCCACCCTCAGAGCTCCCGGTTCAGTTCGCCAGAGCCTGAGCCACAGGTCAGGGCAGAGAGGGGCTGAGCAGGCAGTCGCCCCATCGACCAGCCCCTCAGCGTCTTCTCCCAGGTCCCAAGCCCCATTTCAGCCTCAGCCAGTGATAGCTGTGCCCCTAGATCTTTATTTAGAACACTGCAGGGAAATGAGGCACATGCTAAAACGTTGTTGTGAAAGTTCTCAGACTGCGTGAAACCAGAAATCTAGTCGTCCCTGGAAACAAGGGTCCAGACCGAGACCCCGAGTGTGTGGAAGGCAAGAGAGGTCTTCCGGAGGTCACCACCCACTACTCAGCCCCAGGTCTGTGACTCAGGAGCAGGGGGCCACCCTCAGCCCTCCGTCCCCCATGCTCTGTGAAACTACAGCACCCCCAAACCACCCCCACTAAGGGAGCGCAGGTCCTGGGGTTCCGGGCCTGACCCCGCCACCCTGAGAAGCCAATCAGGCCATTAGCACATAAGCTAACCTGGGGCTCTTCCTCTCCCCCTGCCCACGACCCTGGGAGGGCATGTGCTATACACTGTCACTTCCCAGTGACAGTGGCTGGGAGGCTGCTGCAGTGGGACCCAGGGCACGGCACAGGCAGAGAGCTCCTTTCACAAAAGGGCGCCGTGTACTGGGAACTCCTGAGTACTCACTGCAGAACACTAAGTTCTAGTGTCAAAGCACAAGGGGCACTGAAGCTCAGGAGCCCCAGGCCTGTAAAAGGCAATGGTCATGCTAGCTGTCCCTTCATACAGAACCTGACCTTGGCCCTCTGTGGGCCCTCTGGCAGCAGAGATGGGCACCACCCCTGCCACTGGTGGGCAGGAACCCCAGGAAGGCTACTTTGTCTTGGGGTCTCGGTGGGCACATCTATGAAATGGAGCCCATCCTGACCATGGGAGTGGAGGTGAAACGGGGCGGCGCAGGGCCGGGCACAAGCTGTGGCACTTGGAGCTGCTCAGAGGCCCTCCCCAGCTCCACTGGAGTGAACACAGCCACGTCCAAGCCTCCTCAGTGTGCCTGCCTGGATGTCGAGGCTTAGAGGGAAGCTGATACTGATGGCAGTAGCCTCTGTAGGGCTGCCCCCTTCAGCCTTCCAGACCCCACTCCAGGGACCCCCACACTCTGGAGAAGTGAGCACTGGACTGTCGCTCAGTCTCATTATGACTAGCAGAAAGAGGGCCGCCCTTAGATCCCCTAGGTCAGCCCCAAGTTGCAGACGGTAGCCCCAAGCATGGGCAGCGCTTGTCTGCCACGTCCGTGCCAGCCCTATGGCACAGGAGCCTGCATAGTAGGACATGTCTGGGCATTGGGGACTTGGGGACTCGGAGGGAGCCTGCTATCTGCTCTGAGGTACAACTCTCTCCAGGCTGGGACCGTGGGGGGCCCAGCCAGGTCAGCTCAGACCACCTTCAGTCCCCAGTCACGTGGGCCAGCTGTCCTTCTGACAGAGGGGCAAGAGCCTCCTCCTCTGAGCCTGGTGCCCCAGATCTTAAACAGGCACGTAGCTAGGGGCAAAGAGACCTTCCCTGGGCTGGAAAAAAGAGGTCACTAAACACCTAGACCCTCCCCTGCTGGGTCCTCCAGCCCTGGCTCCTCGGCCCCCAGGCCCCCACACAGCCCGGAAGGCAGGGTGGCTGCGTACGTTGGTGTGCTGGGACGAGCACAGGGACTCCACAGCCTGGAGCCTGTTTTCAGCGACCAGTAGCTTCTCCCGCAGCCTCTCAGCCTCCTGCTTGCTCTGGGCCTCTGACCGCTGCAGCAACTCGTAGTCCAGCATCTTCTTCTCCGCCAGCGAGATCTGCTCCTTCAGGAACTCGATGGCCTGTGCCTGGCCCCGGTACTCGGCATCCAGCTTCTCCAGCTCGTGCACCCGCAGCTCGGCGTCACGGCGCTGGTCTTGGGCTTCTTGCAGCTCCAGCCGGTGCTGGCTGGCCTGCACCTCCAGCTGGGCCCGCCAGTGCTGCTGCAGCCCGGCCAGCTCTTCTTGCACCTCCTGCAGCTTCTGCCGCAGGCCCTCCTTCTCCTTCACGTGCATGGCAGTCTCGATGTCGTGCTTGGCACGCAGGTTGCCCAGCTCCAGCTGGTGCTCCATCTTGATGCCCTCCATCACAGCCTTCAGCTCCCCGATCTCCTTCTGCTGGGCCCCCGGGCCCGAGTTCAGAGTGGCCTTGAGGTCCTCTAGGGACTTCTGGTGGTCTGAGGCCAGCGAGTCCAACTTGGACTTCCAGTTGTCCATGAGCCCCATGTTCTCGCTGGTGGCCTGCTGGACCTTGGCCTTGAGGTCCACCACCTCTTGTGCATACTTCTCATTGGCAGCCCGGAGCTTCTCCACCTCCGCCTGGTAGGCCCTCAGGGCCTTCTCATACTTGTCCCGCAGCACACCGCTCTCCCGCTGGTGCTCTTTGCTGGCAGACAGCAGCCGCTCCCGCAGCCGCAGGGTCTCGGCGGCCTCGGGGTGGTCGGCGGGCGGCGGGCCCGAGTGCAGCAGGCACTGCTGCAGCTCCTCAATCTCACCACGCCGCAGGTTCAGTTCCTCCTCCAGCTGCAGCACCCGTGACTTCTCGGCCACTGTGGTCAGCTGCCAGGGAGAGAGGGACAGGTCAGAAGACCAGCTGGAGAGTGAGGGGGTGCAAGAAGGGTATGGGGGGCAGTCCTCACCACTCAAGGGCCCCAGCCCAGTGGGGAAAGGTCATGAGAAGGGAAGGGCATCCACCCCTACCCAAGTGCTGGCGTTTCCTCAGTGACCTTGCCCACCACAGCTCCCACAAAGGCCCCTACTGGCTAGCAACCCAGTGATTCAGGGAGTCGGCCTGGGACAAATCAGTGGTTCAAAGAAACCACCATTTGAGGCTACGGCTTTCTTTCAGTTCATGTTTTTTTTAAGGGCAGAGACAACAGGAAATTTTGCACTACCCTACTCTAAAAAGTTCCCAGGCTGCAATGGGTTGGTTCAGAGGAGCTGTCTGGCGGGGGTGGACAAAGAAGGGTGGGCTGAATGACTAAAGTAGAACAAAATTATTGCTCCTAGACCCGCCTCCTGACGGAAAACCGAGGTCAGAGGTTTCACCCTCCAAAGCCTACGCCTTGATCATGTCAGTGGTCATAGATTTAAAAACAACATTTTTAATTAAAAAAATTTTTACAAGCCTAAAAAATTGTTTCTGAAGCTGCCCTTGAGTTCAATAAACCTGTTTTTATTTTTCCAATCAGGTTTTGAACCCTAGATTAAGATGCCTAAGTGTAGTGGGCCCTTGCCTGTCAATCAGTTTCTGCAAGCAGTGTCTGTGCACACGTGTGTGTGCTGTGTGAGTGCACAGGGTCACTGGGCAACAGACAGTGAGTGACCAGTGACCTCTCTGTGTCTCCAAACGCCCACTGCATGCACACACTCCGAGTGCCGAGGCTGACCTGCAGAAACTGACCACTGCTCACCCCACAGCCCCACGCTGTTTACGTCCCAATTGCTGCTTGCTGGCTATTTGTCTCTGCTGCCAGACTGCAGCTGGGCCAGGCCGGCCAGCTGTCTGGATGTGCGTGCTGCACGGGGAGCCAGGCCCAGGACTTGCATGGTGGCTGTGGAGGGGCCAGCTGGGCCTGGAGCCTGGACTTGGAATCAGGCCCTGCAACTAGGAGGGGAACTCGCCCCCAAAGAGAGCTGTCCCCAGCCCAGAAGCCACTCCCCGACCCTTTGTGTCACAACTGCCACCCCCTGGGCTGACCAAGAAGCCCATGTCCTGCGGACATCCCTACTCCCCCACCCCAGGTGCTTCAAGCCAGCCCCTCCTGCCACCACATTTACCCGCTGGGCTAGAGAAACCTGGATCTGCAGTGCCCCAGTTTCCAGCCTTCCCCAGCCGGAGAAGGAGGACATGAATGGATAGGTGGTCTCCATGCCTGTCCACAGAAGGCAGACGTTCCCAAGAGACCCCTCAGTTCTGAACATGACAAAGCCTTGCCATGGCAGTACATGGGGAGGGAGGAAGGTGGAGGGCCTCGCAGGACACTCTCGGCCAATGGGACCAGCTGGGGAGCAAAGTCACAGAGAGCCAAGCCCCTCCTCCCTGAAAAGTATCCATGAGAGCGAAGCATAAGCATGTTCCTGACCCTCCACTTCCCTCCTGGAAAGGGCATAAAAGGTAAAAAACAATTTAAGGACAGCAGCCAAGGACAGAGAAAATCATGAAACAGAGGAGCCCAGGGTTGCCCACAGGCCAGGGCGCTGGCAGGCCGGAGGCGGCGGGCGCGTTACCCTGTTGTCGGCTAATTCTCGGAGCAGCCGCTCGGCCTGCGCCTTCTCCAGTAGCAGGCTCTGCTCCAGCTCCCCAATGCGCGCGTGCTCCAGCTGCGTCTGGGTCTGGCCCACCCGGTGGGTGGCGGGTGGGGACAAGGCAGAGGGCATAGGGAAAGGAAGCCGGAGGAAGAGAGAGAGAGAGAAAGAGAGAAAGGTGGCGTCATCTACCATGAACAAGGCTGGAAAACAGGTTATGGAAAGGAGGCGGCTCAGGGGAAGAGAGGAGGTCCAGGGAGGTCAGCCCGCCTCCTGCCCCTCAGTGTCCTGGCTGGGTTTCTTCAAGGGCAGAGAGCAGGCTGCAGCATCCTGCCCAGGCTGGGTGGCAGTGGGCACCCTAGGTCCCTTTTGTCTCCTCCAGGTGGCCCTTCCCCTTGTAGCTCTGCCAAGAGGCCCCGGCCTGCTCCCACCCTGCGGGCTGTTTTTCATGCCAGGCACTCCTGCACATAGGAGGCCGTTAGGATGAATGAATAAGGAAATGACCCCAGGATTCCTGGCCCCAGGCCTGTGCTTAAGGTGGATGAACCAAACAAATGGAAGGCTTTCAAAAATATACCCACGCCCCAGGTGGGAGAGGCTGAGCTACGCCACCCGCCGCCCAGGCCCACACCCGGCCTTGTCAGCACCCACCCACCAGGGCGCCGCAGAGGATGCCTGCTCTCCCGAAAGCACAAGGACATTTCTGTCCCGGCTCCATAAGCCCCACTTTGCACACTAACAAAGCCCCACATTCTCCCAACACCCAGGCTGGCACCTGGGTGTCTCCTGACAGATCTGCGAGCACCCAGAGCAGCCTGGGCACTGAGTGCGTGGTCTCCAGGGAGAAGCAGGAGGGTCCCCCTTGTCTTCCTGCCTGGCCCATCACTGCCCAGGAGAAGCAAGGGTAGCAGGCCTGCGTGGCAGCGCTGAAGAGGCAGACTGGGCAACAGAGCGTGCATCCGTGAACACGAGAATACACACCCGACGCTAGCACGGTTGATGGGGACAGTGTGAACTGGTACCGTCTGTCCCAGAAATAGGTCATCAAGGGCTACGGAGCCGTGCATGTCTTTTGGCCTGTGACCTTGTTTCTGTGAATTTTCCTAAGAGGGTGGGTCCCCTTTCTCCCTAGAGAGGGCAGCACACAGCAGTGCTAACAAGCAGCCACGTTCGGTCTTCCAGAAAATTACAGGCTGACTGATGACCGCGCCTCACCCCAGCCTCCCAGGCCATGTCCCCGCCCTCCTGCCCCAGAGGCGGGCATAGTAGCACTGCCTGGGTCCCACACTAGAGGGAGCACGGTCATAAATGCCCTTACTGGTGGCCCCAAGGGCAAGAAAAAGCCCCCAACTTCACAATGTCAAGGGCCGTCTCATTTGGCGCCTCTGAGAGGAGCCTGCTTCAGGGCCCTCCTGCTCTGTGGGCCGGGTCTTCGTCGGGGCACAGGGGCGCTCAGTGGAGTTGCTTCTGGTGCTGAAGATAAATCCAACTTAGCAGCCTTAGCGGCTAGATGTAGGTGGGGCAGATGACTTGGCCTTCCTGCTGCTCTAAGGACACAACCCAGGACCCGAGGAGTAGGGCCACCACAATTCTGCTTCAGGCACTCGTTGGGTCCCCTGGAGTTAATGTTCTTAAAACCACCATCGAGGCAGTCTCTTCATCTTGCAAAAAAGAGAGGCTGCTCCAGAGAGAGAAGCCACAGGCTCAGAACCAGGCTGTGACTCTGGGCAGTGCAAGGTCCAGGTTCGCGCCACTGGATCCCAGAACTGGCACCGTGTCCTGAACCAGCTGGACTTCCCCGAGGGGACAGCCTGGAATGGAGCTCTTCCTGTGACTGGGGGTGTGAGGTCAGAAGGAGGACACCCAGAGAGATGGGGTGATGTAGCTGGAGGGGGGCCATGTATTCTGGGTTTTATTTTTTTACTTTTAAGATGAATGGGGGTTAAAGGAACTTTGGGTCAATTTGCCTTCTGGTTATCATGGCTATGGTCACAGTCAAAATAGCAGCAATAGGATTCTATTGCTCCCAGACTGAATTAGCTGTCAGTCACTGTCTGCCCCCTCCCAGCCAGGACCAGCTGGATCTGGGGTGGATAACTGATCTCAAGTCGGCCGGCTCATTGGCTAGCCTGGGGCCAATCAGATTCTCCAGAGAGGACAGCTAGTAGAAGGTGGTGCTGGAGTCTGAGCAGGGCCGGGCCGCTGGGTGTGTGGTGGAGAGAGGGAACAGATGAGCCAAAGGGACATGCAGACACAGTGAAAGAGACAGACACAGAGGCTGACCATGAGTCATAAGAAGGAGACCCCTGAGCGGGAGAGAACAGGTTTGGATCCTAATGATGTTTCTTATTCCAGTTCCCTAAACTCCCTGTGAGATTCCCCTGTAGCCTTTCCTCCCTGTTGTTGGCCGCAGGAGTCTCTGCTCCTTGCACCTATGGGCACTTTCCCCAGAAGCGCACCCCAAGCCCCGAAGGAGGCAGCCACCCAGTGGGAAAGCCGGCCAAACGTACCCACAAGACCCGTCCCCTTGGCTAAGAGGGGACACCCACAGAAACACCCCGACACTGGGCTGGGCTCCTACGCCAGCCTGTGCCCTGACACCTGTCCTTTACGATTAAGAAGCAAAGCCTGCACTAACAGGGGCAGCTGGCAGTGACCCTATGCAGATCGTACATGTCCCTCCCCGACCTGGAGTTGTCTGGTGGAAAGGACAACCGTTCACGTGCTTTTGCTGTGCGCTGGAGATTACAGGGTCTTAATGCTGCTCTTTTACAAAATTGGAAGCTGCAATTTCCAATTTGAGCTCAGAGTGACCTAGCACAGTGGTCCCCAAAGTGTGGTCCCCGACCGGCATCACTGGGGAACTTGTTAGAAATACACAAATCTCAGGTTCCACCCAAACCTGCTGAATGGCCACTCTGGGGCGGGGCCAGCCTCCTGTATCTGAATAAGACATGTAGGTAATAAATTCTCAAGTTTGAGGACCACTGACCTAGTTCAACCTCTTCGTTTTAATTAATTAATTAATTAATTTATTTATTTATTTATTTTCAACCTCTTCATTTCAGAGCAAAGCAAACTGAGGCTCAGGAACGAAACAGTCTACCCAGGGACAGTCAGGGCCAGGTCAGCGTGTGAAGAGGGCCTAATTCACTGTTCCCTGTGCCACCCGAGAGCTCTAGGAGCCCTTGTCCCTTGTCACCTCCCAGGGAGCAGGGAGGGACACAGCAGGGAGGCACTCCTGCCCACCCAGCTGGGCCTGGTGAGCCCTGCAGTGTCTGACTGGATGAGGAGGGCTGGGTGGGGCGCTTTACCAGCTCCTGTGAGCGCCCCTCCCTCAGCTCAGAAAGGGTGCGTTGGATGGAAGAGTGAAAGGGCCGCCTGCGCCCAGACCACGTGTCCAGGCCTTATAGTCAAGGGGCTGATGTAACTGGCCACCTTACGGGCTGAGCTCGGGAGTCAGGAGTTCTGGGCCCAGCGGCTGCTGACTTGCTCTGTTACTGGGTGAGTCCGTTTGCCTTTCTGGACCTGTTTCCCCATCTGTAAGTTCTGTGACTTAACAACAAGCTACTTTTAGCCAAAATTTTACCTGGAATCCAAGAGGAACTAAGGGCCCGAGGGTCACCTTCAGGGCTATTACCCAGCAAAGCAGGGAATGGGGAGCTCGGCCAGCATATCCGTCCTCAGGCCCCGCCCTGTAGACACGTGGTCCCTCCCACCCAGTGGCCAACACAGGGAGCACGGCCACTCGGGCTCGCAGAGCTGAGCCACTCCCACCTGTGACACCTGAGTCTCTCGTCTCCCGGGGGATGAGACTCCCTCACTCCACCCCACTCTCCCGGGGTATAGCCCCCGATCCTCCTTCGTTTCTCCCTCCAAATGCCCACAGCCCCTTCCCAGGAGGCCCAGGGTTACTGCCTGGACCTTGTGGCCACTTGTCCTATAAGGGTTGGGCCTGGGGTGCCAAACGAGCCAGCGGCGGGGCCTTTGACCGTTACCTCCAGGTCTCCCTTGGTGATGGACTCCTCCTCCACTCGGAACTGCAGGTCCTCCACCTTCCTGTGGGGGGAGGGGCGGATGAGCGGGCTTCGCCCAGGCAGGTGGGCTTCCCCAAGCCAGCAGCAGCAGACGGGCGAGGCCACAGACTCTCGGACTCCACGCTCAGGCCACACGGAAGGTGCCGCCCCAGTGGAGCAGGCCCCTGCCCGAAGTCGCGTGGCTGACAGAGCAGAGCCTCCTGCAAACCTCTGGCCCTCCCAACAGCCTGATCCGTGCTCCACGCAGAGACTCAGAGCTTCACTCTCAACCCTCAACTGGGAGCGCTTAATGCAACCCCGCCCCCAACCCAGGGTGGCTGTGAGAATAAATGGAGGAACAACCGAAATGGAAGCAGAGTGATGCTAGTGAGTACTCCATTTTCATCACCGCAGGGAACAGACACTGTCACGTGGAGCAGGCTGGGGGAGGAGAGTAGGTAGGCTTCTCACCCTGCTGACTCCGCACTCATCCACAGGCCTCAATATCGGGGGCCAGAGTCCCAATCTCCACTGCTCCCTGACGTGGAGGGGGCCACCCTCAGGGGAGCCACTCACCCACCCATGTGCCCAACCACCACAGGAGAGACACAGGTACATCACAGCTCACAAAGCTATTCTTACTGGGGCCTCCTGACAGCTCCCAGCATCCAGATGAGGAAAACTGAGGCCCAGACAGGGCAAGGAACCTGCCCAAGGTCACCCAGCAAGTATAATACCATACTGGGACTTGCACCCAGGCCCTTCCTGAACACAACTCCCACGGTGTTTTAAAAATCTGTTTTTGTTTGTTGGCATCAGGTGCGTTACCATGGGAACCAGATGTTGGGGGGGGCCCAAGGAGCACCTCAGGCGCAGAGAAGCAAGCCCGCCCCCCCAGTCAGACGTCAACGACAGCCTGTGGAGCACGCGCCTGGTGGAAAGCCCTGAAACCGCCCATGGAGCTGGGGGAGCAGGGGTGGAAGCCGCCGGCTGCACGGGGAAAGGGAGGAAGGCGCAGAAATCTGTGTCAGCTGGGAGACAGAGAGGGGCTCCCGGGCCAAGGGAAACCCTGTCCCCTGCCACCAGGTGACCCGGGGACACCAGGCCAGGACACCCCATCCCCACTAGCCGCCCTGCCAGCGCAGAAAGAATCAGTGGCACAGTGAACAGGCCGGTCCCCTCCCGGCTCTGAGCCTCGGTTCCTCATCTGAAACAGGCACCGCGACCTGCCTCCCAGGCCCAGGGTAAGACTGAGACACGAGGTAAAGCACCGGCATGGGGCTCGCACCCGGCGTGCGGCGCTTCCAGCAGCCTTCTGCTGCGGCTTCTCTAAGCCTCAGTTTCTTGCCACATGAATGGAAATAAAGCCTCTGGGCAGCAGCTGAGCTCCAGGCACGGAACCTGGCTCAGAGGGCTGCTCCGTGGACCTGAGCTGGTTCAAGGTGGTGGGCACACTGGGTCTTCTTCACAGTGCATGTCCCCCCAGGGGCACCGGCAGGAGAGCCAGCCCCACCCCGGGCATCCTCCTCATGACAGGCGGCCCAGGCGTGCGGGGCGGGAACAGTGAACCCCGCCACCGGGAAGAAACGTGGTGTCGCCCTGTGCTCAGCACCACGCTGGGTGCTTTACTGGAATCATCTTGTAAGTCCTCGCAGCAGCTTGTAGACATGGGGATCACCACCCTGCTTCACAGATGACGACGGAGGCCTGCGCAGCTCACGTCACTAGTCCAGGTGACACGGCCTGTACGTGGTGGAGGCAGGATTTGGCCTGGGCCTGCTGGTCCTGAGCCTGTGCTCTTCCTCGTCACCCGTAAGGAGGCTCAGCAAAGATGTCCTCCCAGGAGCAGGGCGGGGGCAGCACGTACCTTCTCTCCTCCTCCAGCTGGTTGGACAGGTCCACCTTCTCCTTCCGCACGCTCTCCACCAGCAGCCGGGCCCGCTGCAGCTTCTCCTCCGCTTCTGCAACATACTGGGCCCCAAGCAAGGGCCCAAACAGGGTCAGCCTTTTTCTGGGGACCAGGGACCAGGTCCCCAGACCTGGGGGAGGGGTGGGCAGGACCAGGGGTGGGACGAGGAGTTGGGGCTGGAACCCCAGCCACCCCAACTGCCTTACCAGCCCAAGGTGGACACGGACCGTGGGCCTGATGTGAGGGGTGGGCCCAGCTGAATGCCTCACCCAGTGGAAACCTCAAGCCCACCTGCTCCTATACCCAGCACCCCAACATCTGCCGCCTCCCCCTGCCCAAGGGCCTAAATCGTGTCGTCTTGTGAAGGTCCCTGTCACGGCACACGTCTGAGCTTGGCTTTATTAATTCCAGTACCCAAGGGAGGGGTGAACTGGCCCCGAATGGAGACAAGAGCCCTGGATGCTTCTCTTCAGGCAGGTGACAAACATCAAGGAAGAGCAGACATGTGACAGCAGGTGACTCAAGGCTACGAGCCAGGGCTTACTTCCCTGAAACCCAACCCAAGCATCTGCTGGGAAGCGCCGTTTGAAATGTGGACAGTTGTATACAGAAAAATGTGCACAGAGTATTACTTAGAAAAAGTGAGAAATTGGAAACAATTTAAACAATAGCAAGAGTCGACAAGGACGCAGCCCGTGGCAGGTGGCAGTGCAGCTGTTCAAGCGGGGGAGACTTCGCTGCGACCTAGAAAATGCTCGCCGTAAGGGCGCAGAGAAAAGCAGGAGACAGCTGATATACAGGTTCTCTTATTTTTTTTTAATCCTCACCCAATGATGTATTTATTGATTTTAGAGAAAGAAGAAGTGTGGAGGGAAGGGAGAGGGAGAGGAAGTGGGAGACGGAAACAGTGATGTGAGAGAGAAACATTGAGTAGGTGCCCCACCTGGGAATCGAACCTCCAACCTAGGCATGTGCCCTGACCCAGGATCAAACCCACAACTTTTTCGGTGTACTGGACGACACTCCAACCAATGGAGCCACCCAGCCAGAGCTATACCCAGGTTCTTAAAGTACGTGCACCTATCCACTGGAAGGACACTCTCGAGGAGGAGGGAGGGGTCTTCTCTGCACACACAAGTTCTCCGCCCTGGGCCTGAGTGACGACACACCTGGCTGGAGGAGGCCGGGGGTGCCCTGCGGGTGCCCGCCACCCTGCCTACCCACCCACCTGCTCATGCTGCGCCTTGAGCAGGGCGATTTCCTTCTCCACCTCGCAGATGTGGCTCGTGGCCTTGGCCACCTCGGCCCGCTCCAGGTCCCGTTCAGCCAGCAGCTGCTCAATGTGCTGCTGCTTCTCCTTCAGGGCCTCTTGCAAGGCAGTCGTGCCCGAGATCTTGCGGGCATAGCGTGAAGAGGTCTCCGTGAGCTGCAGAAAGGCAGAGCGCAGGCGGGACTCAGGGACCGAGCACCATCCGGATAACCCACAGCTCCCCCGCAGGCGGGGGGCCCAAGTGCCTGGACGCCCAGGGCCCTGCTCCTCCTCCTGCCAGTGCCCCTGCTGCTCATGCAGGGGAAGCCTACTAGTTCAGATTCAGGAAACAACCCCTCCCAGAAGGGTCACAGCTGGGGCTCGGACACGGCGGGCTCCCTTCTCCGGGGCCAGGGGGAACCTGCCATCCTGGACTGGGCTCGGGTAGAAGGCTCTCTGCCCAGAGGCATGGCCTCACCTTTTTCCCCCACCCAGGGTGAATGTGGCACCTTTTTGAACCTCCTCCCCTGCACCTGCATGACCTGCCCGACCTGCCCTGCATCTGTATCACCCTGTTAAGGATTAACTCCAAGGAAAGGGCTTAGGCTATGGACAAGTCAGTGATATAAAAATAATGATAATGTAAATGGACCAATCTCCTTTGTTAAGATATACATTTTCAGCTTTGTTCAAAAACTCCAAACTGAGGATGCCTGGAGTTAGTGCAAGACAGGGACAGATTGGGACACCTGGATCCCTCTGTCTTTGACCCCCACACATACCCCAGGCCCCCCACCCGGCCCCACCCTCACCAGACCACTGCGGCTGGGCCGGCCGCCCACGGAGGAGGCCACAGAGCTGACAGAGCTGATGGAGGAGCTGCTGGGGCTGTGGGTCAGTGCTGAAACACCCATGGCCATACGCTTGGTCTTCTTGGCCTTGGCTGGGCTGGTGGACGGGAAGCCGATGCGGATCACCTTGTGGATGGGCGCAAACAGACCAAACTTGGGTGGGCACTGGAAGTACCTGGGGAAGCAAGAGAGACCCACGCTGCCACGATGGCCACACAGCCTGGAGCCTTGCCTGCCTCCCCCCACCCCTTCAGAGCCCAGCAGAGAGGCTCACCCTAGTGGCCCAATCACCCAGACCCAAAGACCAATAGATGGGACTCCCAGAAAGGGAACAGCGGTAAGCAGGGCCTGAGATTCTCTGTAGTCGTGAACAGCCGTTGGGATTATTATTATTATTATTTTTTTGCTTGAAGGAGGTTTGGAAATAACAATCACTGAACTCTGTGCTGGTCCCTTTTCACGAACGCTGATTACAAGCCCCCAACCTCTCTGCTGTTATCTATGCTTCACAGACAAGGAAGGAGGCTTAACTCAGAGAGGTTGAGTAACTTGCCCACAGTCACACAGCGCGTCAAGTGGCAAAGCTGGGACTGGACCCCCTAGCCTACAGGGCTCCAAAGCCAACTATGTTTGGTTCCCACACAACATGCAGGGGTCACCAGCCGTGTCTGCAGCCCCACTCTCGTGGCTGCCCTTGGACCCCCCTCCCTCCATAGGAGGCAAGAGCCTGAGGGAGACACTGTGGGGTGGGGGGTGGGGGCTGCCACCCAACCTGCCCCTGAATTTAGAAAGCACGAGTAAATTGAGAGAAATACGTTATGAAAACAGGAAGGCAAAGTGTTGTTGTGGAAACTCCGGGTGGTCTTCTCTGGAAGCCTCTCTGCTCAAGGACTCTACACAGCACCACGGGGCTAGTCCCGTCCAGTTTCTGACTCACCTGGAAACTGCCTCCCCGCTCCTCCTCTTCCCACACTAAGGCCTGCGCTTGGGCCGTCCCCCCAGCCTAATATACCTTCCTTCTCAGAGCTGTCACAGCCTCTCTGGCCACAGAATCTCACCCGGGGACAGCCAGTGTGTGAACACAGGCCACCTGGCCTTGGCCCCGCATCCCGGACACTGCTCACCCATCGTATCACTGCTCCCCACCCACCCCACCGAAACGGGCCCAGACACAGCCTTAGACCCTCTTGCAAGGCAGTCATGCCCGAGGTCTTGCAGGCACAGCATGAAGAAGTCTCTGCGAGCACTTCCAGCAGTCAGTGCCCTTTCATCAGACATGGCATAGAACTGGAACCAGTTGTGAGCCCACCCTGGTTGCAGAGCACAGTTTACTGTGTCACCCAGGAAATCCCCAGAAGGCACTTGTACCCTGACTCCGCAGGCCTTGAGCAATGGTCTCTCTGGCCTCCACTGGGGATGGTATTCCCCCCACCTGCCCCTGTGCTGCTGTGATGGAAGGACAGAGGCAGCATCTATACTGTGCTGTCTGGCACAGCCACCTGCACACTCAACACTGGCTTCCTCGGCTGCTCCATCCCTGTCCCCAGTCCCCACCCCAGGCAAAGAGAAGGCCCCGCCCACACCCCTGGGGGAAGCCCGCCATACCTGGTGCCTGCCACCGCCCCATCATTCTTCCCCAGAGGCTCGTCCAGCTCCACGCCGCACCACTCGCCCTTGGCAAAGTCCGTCTCCCCCACGTACCGCACCACGCCAGTCTTTGTCCCGCCAACCTGTTGGCACGCAGAGAGATCCGGGTCTAGAGGATACAGTGGGCACAGGCAGAGGTGGTGCTGGAGCCCAGGCGCCCGGCCCACCCACCCCCTGCCTCCCCGTGTGTGGGGAGAGGGACGCCTGCAGTGAGGGGAGAGGCCTAAGGACAGCTGGGAGGGACACGGGTGTAAGCAGCACTCCCCAGGGCTGCCCCATGCAAGAGCTCTGGAGACGGGCCTGCATTCAAACTGCTGCATGAGCTTGGGCGAGTTACCTAACTGAGCTTCAGCATCTCCATCTGCAGAAAGGGTGTTTGTGAGGATTAAGTGCTGCATGTGCAGTGTCTCAGTAAGTTTTATTCTTTTTTCTTTTTCAAAGATTTTATTTATTCTTAGAAAGAGGGGAGGGAGGGAGAAAGAGAGGGAGGGAAACATCGATGTATGAAACATTGACTGCTTGCCTCTTCTACGCCTCCAACTGGGGACCTGTTCAGGCATGTGCCCTGACCAGGAATCGAACCAGTGACCTTTCGGTTCATAGGCAAATGCTTGACTCACTGAGCCACAGAAGCCAGGGCAAAATTTATGCTTAAAAATGGTTCAAAGGGTCATTGCCTTCAAAGGGGCTGGCAGGAAGAGGGAAACAAAGAGTAATAGTTCAATGGGAACAGAGTTTCAGTTTTACCTAATGAGAAAGATCTGTAGATCAGTTGGTTGCATGACAATGTGGATATACTTAACCCTCCTGAACTGTACACTTAATGGTTAAAAAAGTAAATTTCACGTAATGTGCATTTTACCACAGGCAGGGAAAAAACTCACAGGACAGGCTAGTAAGTGTGAATATTACTATAAAAAGTTATATATTTTTTAAATTAAAATTATTTATACATAGAGAGTCAAATACTTCCAAAACCTTAAAAAGCCCTAGAAGTTTCTCTACCTTTCTCCAAAAGCAAAACTTTAACTCTTTAAACTGAACTTTTTGGTATTTTACCTCCTCATACTTCTGAATGACCTGCTTATATTGCTCCTTCTTGCCTTTTCAATTTTGGGTGCCGTTCACTGATGTCCCATCACCACTGCACCCCACCCACCTCTGGACCGCCCGGCTTCTTCCACGTGGAGGTGTCCTAGCCTCGGACGGGTTTACAGCGCTGTGACTAAGTAAACACGCCTCCCAGGGAGACTGCACTTCCTGCTCTTCCTGCACAACTTACCCTACAGATAATAACTGTCTCTCAGGACTGTTTGCTTGCCTGCTTTCTATGGGCTTAACTCTACTTCAGCCCCAAACTCTTTCCATAGTCTAACTCTCCCACCAGGATGTTCGGAGGCACTGGGAATCCCACCCAGCTCTTTCTGAAGAAGACTCTTCTGCTGCCGATGGACTGGTTTCCGGCCCCTCGGCCCGGAGCCTACCGGCCTGGGGCCCCTCACCACCATCACTCCGAGAGGTCCCCCCACCTCTCTCCTGCAACTGGATCCCATTTCCTGCACCCTGTGTCTTCCGGTTTTTCCTAGGGTACTCACTTATTTTACACATATCCTCCCATAGTCTTCTAAGAAAAAGTACATGAAAAAATAAAATATATGAGCCTTTGCATTACTGAAAAGGGTCTATCCTCATTTTTTTTGGGGGGGGAGAATTCACATAAAATAAACTTCACCATTTTATAGTGTACAGTTCAGTGGCTCTTACTACATTCACAACCACCACTGCGATCCGATTCCAGAACTCTTTCATCACGCCGAAAAGGAACGCCGTGCCCAGCAGTGGTTGCCGCCCGCCTCTCCCCAGCTCCCACCGTCCGCCGGTCTACTTGCTGTCTTTGGGGCTTTGCGTCTTCTGGGCATTTCCCGAAAGTGGAACCAAGCAACAGGTAACCTCCATGCCTGCCTTCTTTTGTTTAGCATCCATGTTTATCAGTGTTGGCACTCTGTTCCTTTCTACGGCCAAACGATATTCCCTTGTATGGATTCCCCGACTTTTTGTTCTTCCACTCAGCTGCCGATGGACATGTGGGCAGTTCCTGCTGTGGTTATTATGAGTAGTGCTGCTGTGAACTTTCATCTGCGAGCGGTATGAACACCTGCTTTTGAAGTTCTTGCTACGCTCACTGGTAAACAAGAGTTTGGCTGCATCTCTTCCTTCAGAATTTCAAAGGCTCCTTCTGTGTATTCTAAGAATCCAGTGTTGCTGTTGAGAAGTTCAAAGCCATTCTGAGTCCCGATCCTTTATGTGAGCCCGTATGCCCACCCTGGACACCTGCAGGCTCTCTCTGTGTCCCAGGGTTGTGCAGTGTTACAATGAGTATGGGCCTCTTCCCACCCCTTCCCTGGGCTCCCATGGGTCCTTTCAGCTAAGGAACCCTTGTCAATCCTGGGGGATTTTCTTGGAGTACTTATGTGAATCCCCTGATTCCTTGCTCCAACCACTATCACCGAGGCTGGATCTACTGAACAGATGTTCTGATAGTTATACTCTTCTCTCCTGTTCTGCATATTCTGGCTCTGTTCTCTGGGAGATTTCCTTCAGTGTATCCTCTGATACTTCCGTGAGTTTCTGTAATCAGATCTTTCATTTCCCAGAGCCCTTCTGTTCGCTGCACATTCCTATTCACACATTCAGTGGTACTCTGCTAGGATTTAATGGGCACATCACTTCTTGTTTCGAAAAGAACCAGCTGTTCTTTCCAGAGAAGCTTCTCGTGCTCTCCAGTGTGCAGGGCAGACGCCAAGCAGCTAGCATCCCAGGAGCAGAGGGAGGGAGAGGCCGCTAGGGAAAGGGGCTCAGCCTTCAGGATGGAAACGTTCACTCAATCCTCATCTTTCAGGCCAGCGCGCCTGGGGTTCCACCATGCAAACACTCTCTGACCTCTCAGGAGATAAACTGTCCATCCCAGATGTCTTCTAGAGGGACAGAGGGACAGTCACTAGGCAGAAGGGAGCAGGGATGAAAAGGGACGGGGAAGCTAAAGATATTTCCAACTGGCTCTCCGGTTTCTGGCCCTGACATCAATTCTGTTTCCAGTGGCCACCCCGCAGCTGACTCCTGACCTTGGGGGTTCCTGAGAGAAACCTGGCCGGCTTCTCTGCTTCCCTCCCAATGTCTGTGGGCTCAGCAGCGCCGGGCGTGACCTCATGTGGCCTCTCCTCTCCTGCTTTCTTTGTCCGTGAGGGTTCAATGCCTTATTTATTTTTTAATTGGGTTGGCCAGAAAGTGCATGTGATTTTTTTTTCTGTAAAATAAGACACATTTTTCATTTTCACCAATAACTTTATTGATTTGGCTATTTTGAGTGTGTCGGCTTTCTCCCGGGTGGTATAACGTTGATTGTTCTCAATTAATGTCTCGATTTGTTTTTTTCCCACAATCATTTATTTTTTTAATTTTTTTACTCATTCTTTTTTTATTTTATTGATTATGCCATTACAGTTGTTCTATTCCCCCTTCATTCCCCTCCACCCTGCACACCCCTCCCCCACCATTCCCCTCTTTAGTTCATGAACACGTGTCTCAAGTTCTTTAGATTCTATATTTCCCATACTATTCTTACCCTCCCCCCTATTTTCTATCTACTGTCTATGCTACTTATTTTCTGTACCTTCTCCCCCCTTCTCCTTCTCCCACTCCCCTGTTGCTAACCCTCCATGTGATCTTCATTTCTATGTTTCCACTCCTGTTCTAGCTGTCCTTCTAGTTTGCTTTTGGTTTAGGTGTGGTTGTTAATAACTGTGAGTTTGTTGTCCTTTCACTGTTCATGTTTCTTTAACTTCTTTTTCTTAGATAAGTCCCTTTAACATTTCATATAAGGGCTTGGTGATGATGAACTCCTGGAATTTGATCTTATCTGAGAAGCACTTTATCTGTCCTTCCATTTTAAATGAAAGATTTGCTGGATAGAGCAATCTTGGATGTAGGTCTTTGGTTTTCATGACTTGGAATACTTCTTTCCAGCCCCTTCTTGCCTGTAAGGTCTCTTTTGAGAAATCCGCTGACAGTCTGATGGGAACTCCTTTGTAGGTGACTGTCCCCTTATCTGTTTGACCTTTTTCTTGCTGCTTCTAGGATTCTCTCCTTCATTTTAATCTTGGCTAATGTAATGATGATGTGCCTTGGTGTGTTCCTTCTTGGGCCCAACTTCTTTGGGACTCTCTGAGCTTCCTGGATTTCCTGGAAGTCTATTGCCTTTGCCAGCTTGGGGAAAATTCTCCTTTATTATTTGTTCAAATAAGGTTTCCACTCATGACTGTTCCTCTTCCCCTTCTGGTACCCCTATAATTCGGCTGTTGGAGCGTTTAAAGATGTCCTGGAGGTTCCTAAGCCTCTCCTCATTTTTTTGCATTCTTGTTTCTTCATATTTTTCTGTTTGGTCATTTTTTTCTTCCTTCTGGTCCACTCCCTTGATTTGAGTCCCAGTTTCCTTTCCATCACTATTGGTTTCCTGTGCATTACCATTCATTTCAGTTAGTTTAGCCTTCATATGTTCCTCTAATTTGTGCCTAAAATCAACCAGTTCTGTGAGGATCCTGATCACCAGTGTTTTGAACTCTGCATCTGAAAGTTTGGCTATTTCTTTAACGTCTCGATTTGATCACAATCAACTTCACCTGGTCCACCCAACCGTGGAGCATTGTCCAGTGAGAAATCTCCAGCATGAGACTTCACAAAACACTTCTGACACGTTTGATCAGTCATAGCACCTTCTCTACACCCTGCACAAATCTTTTTTTGCACTTCAGTTGTGTTTTTACCTTTCTTGGAATAATAAAGCATGACGCACTGAAACTGTTACATATTTTCTTCCATCTTTAATATTAAAATGACTATACAAAAATTCACCAATTTTGATAATTTTTAAAAATATACACTGACATGACAGCTGCCACAACACAATCTAACTAAATTGTTTCAAATGAAATTACAACTAAGCACCACTAGAGCCATCTTACGGGAAAAACCGAATGAACTTTTTGGCCAACCCATATATATATGTATGTATGTATGTGTTAATTTGTTTGTTTGTTTGTTTAACCCTCACCTGAGGACATGCTTATTGATTTTAGAGAGAAGGGAAGGGGGAGAGAAAGAAAAGGAGAGAGAGACATTGATGGTTGCCACTCCTGTGCACCCAGACTGGGAATAGAACCCGCAACTTAGACATGTGCTCTGACCAGGAATCGAACCCACAATCTTTAGGTTTACAGGATGGTGCCTAACCAACTGAGCTATAACAGCCAGGGCTAATACCTTTTTTAAAAAAATGCCTTCACTGCCTTTCTAGTGCAGTTCAGGGGGGAGTAAAAGTAAATGTGTTTATCTACCATGTTTATGTGAACCCCGGTATGGCTTTCTAACTGCTACTTTGTCACACCCCAAGCATGCCCCAGGTGTGTCTGAAGGAGACCAACTTCCTAATTAAAACTTGCTCCACTCCGACCATTTCACAAGGGCCGACTATATGCCAGGCGCGGGGAACCGAATTTGAAACTCACTAAAGCGAACAGTGCACCCCATTCCTGGATGGAGAGGCTGAGGTTCAGGGCAGTCGAGTGGAAGAGTCCGGCTGGCCTCACTCTGCTGCCTCCTCCACCCCAGCTGGGCTCAGCTCCCAGGCCCCCCACCGTGGGGCCCCCCTCCCCTCGAGTGGGAAGCCATCTCTGAGGACACTGTTCCCACACCAACCAGGCCAGCCTGGAGGGACACGGCCCTGTGGAGAACCCAGCGGCCCAGCGGGGAAGGGTCGGCTGGGCAGACTGCCTGGTGGGCGGGTGCACTCTGGGTTATCTGCAAGGCTGGCCTGGCCTTGGCTGGGAGCTTTCCGACGTGCAGAGAGAGGGTGCCTGCAGTACAGGCGGTTTTCTGAAAAGGTCCCTTGGCCCATTCCTCACAGGATGCCTCTGTGGCCACTACGTGAAAGAACAGAGACTCTACCTGTGTGGAGATGCTCCACACAGGTCCTTCTTCAGGGAAAGCCTTGCTGCCCTGCGTTGAGCCCTGGGGATTGACCTTTGCTGCAGGACCCCCTCACCGGAGATGACGTCCTTCCTGGGGCAGCAACGCCCGGGGACTGAGCGAGGCAGGGCCAGAAAGGCTGGATACCTGGGCTCCATATGGGGTGCTGTGACTGGCAGTCTCGCTCCAGCACACGCCCTGGTCGGCCAAGGCCCATCTGGTCTGCGCTGCAGTCTGACTTCTTCTGTCCATCTTCCACAGACACTAAAATCCCTAACAAGCGCCTCCACCCCAGACCCACCTCAGCAACCACTTCCAGAGAACCCAACGTGCCATGGCAACCCACCCGCCATCTGACGTCTTTGGGCGTCAGAGACCTCTCCCACCACCTGACAGCCGTCTCCTTGGGGCTTTGGCCCTGGGCGCCTCTTGGAACCACCAGCAGCCAGGCCTGTTCCTTCCTGAGACAGCTTTCTCTGTTCCTTGCTAATTATACCCCGTACTGTCAACTGCAGGGGACCAAGGCATTTCCATTCCCCCACCCAGACCGCTGGACACACTGAAGGTGGAGGATACAGGGAATATTCCTGGGCTGGTAGGCAGAAGCCCCGAGTCCCCATCCCAGCCTTGCCCATGCCCTGCCGTGTGACTCTGAGCCACTACTGGCCCTCTCTGAGCCTCAACATCCTCAACCACACGACAAACAGGGCCTGGTGGTTCCTGCCCCAGCAGGCCGGTCTGTGAGTCTACATCGGCGGCTCTCACTGGTCAATGACCCTCCAGTGAGAGTGTCTTCCTAACCCCTCCTGTCACCAAGTCTCAACCTACCCTCTTGGCTCCTGCTGCTCTGTAATTCCAACCTGGAATGTCTTATCTTCCATCACCTCAATCCTAAACTGGTGGCTGCGTAACTGGCCCCTGAGTCTGTCACACCAGGCCATGCTGCCTCTGAAACCAACTTCCCCAAAACCCGTGCAGACAGACCACCACCTGAGATGGGCTTTCAGGACCACGCCCTGGTCCTGCAAGCCCCAAGGCGGACGTGCATGGCAGCTCTCTGTCTTAGGTTAGCCAGGCAGCCAAGAGCCCTCCACATGTTCCCCGGGCCTGGAAAGTGTCCAGGACCAAAGGTGGTGGAGGGCTACCCAAGGCAGAAGGAAATTTAGAGATGGCCTGGGTACCAGGGTCCCACCGGACCTGGGTCCTGTGTCAGATCTGCCTGGCATGGTATAAAAAGCTATGTGACTTTGGACAAGACACTTTGCCTCTCTGCTCCCACCTCTGGCAGGAACCCCCACCCCAGGCACCCAGAACCCTTGAATGCTCGTCCAGAGCAAGACCCCAAACTTGCCCGGGCCAAGCTTTGAGAGAACCCGGGAGGGGGCGTTTAGAAGAGGACATTGGGCAGATCAGTGCGGGAGGAATTTCAGGCACTAGCCAGGCAGGTTATCTGTGTCTGTCTGGGGCTTCGGAGGGGCAGAAGGCGGGTAAGGCCAAGGCAGGGCAGCCGGCCTGTGGGCCTAGCTCCGCGGCTTCCACTCTGGGCGCTGTGGGAGACTCGGGTCTGTGAGTCTCAGGCCTCAGTCTGTGAAAGGCAAGATTTGCTTCCGTGGGAGACTGTGAGAATGAGAGGGGACCCTGCAGCCCAAAGCGCAGCTCCAGACCGAGCTGGACACCCTGTCTCCGGCAGGCGCAGGACAGAATCTCCAATATTCAAGTAACACTCACGGGAGGTGTGGCGTGTCCTCCTGTGGTCTCCAGGTCTCCCTCTCACCCGACTCCTCGGAGCCCGGCCGGCCCGGCACCCTTCGGGGACTAGCCATGCTTGTTCTCACCTGCCCAACACCGGGGATCTGGAAGGACAGGGTCAGCCCAGGGCCACCCTGGCCACCCAGGCCCTGGATCTGGCACAGCAGGCCATGGCCTTGTCCTGTGCACCCTGCCACTCCCAGCCCAGCTCTGGTTCACAGCAAGGCCAGGAAAACACTCTTGCGTTCATACTACAGAAGGATGAATCCAGACTCTGAAGGACTTGGGGGCCACTGCCCCCTTCCTATTATTTTTTTTTCTTTTATCAATGTATGGTTGCTTCTGGTGCACCCCCTGCTGGGAACTGGCCTGCAACCCACGAATGTGCCCTGACTGGGAATCGAACCGCGATCATCTGGTTCGCAAGCCCCCGCTCAATCCACTGAGCTACACCAGCCAGACCACTGCCCCCTTCCAACCTGGACCCAACTGCTGGGAGCACCAAGAAGAGGGGACCCCGGTAGGAAGACTCAGCTAGAGAGCCCTTTGGTTCCTGCGACCCAATTCCCTCCTCCACAGTAACACCAAGCATTCGCCATTGCAGTTCATTAGATGTCTGAACCAATCCCCCTTGGCCAGGGGTCTTGAGCACCCTGGTCCCTGGCCTTTTCCAGGATAAGCCTGGCACATCCACGATGGTGTCCTACGTCAGTGGATATTATCAATGACAGCTAACACTTACTAAGTATCAGGCACCATGTAAAAGCAACACACGTGTTAATGCATTTCAACTTACGAGGGAGGTACTATTCAAATTCCCATTGTATAGATGGGAAAACAGGCTCAGAAAGGTTAAGACACCTGCCTCGGGTCACGGAATGACAGTCTGCAGAGCCCACTTAATCTGTTGTCTCCCTGGTACCTCTGTGTGGTTCTAACAAGGAGTGGGCAGCCCCACTGGACCCCACCCGAGCCCCAGAGTCCCCTCCCGGCTAGCCCCGGGGTCCAGCCGGCCCGAATGGGGTGCAGAGGTCGGGGAAAGGAACTCACCAGTACACGGTCTCCCAGGCGCAGATCCTTGTCGCCCCGCTTCACAGAGCCACTGTCCGAGAGGTTGGAGCCCGACTCGTTGCCTGTCTTGACAGAGCTATTGAGGACGCTCTCCCGAAGTGGGATAACGCGGCTGGTCAGCGGGGGTGTGGCCGTGCCCGAGTGCAGTGACAGGTTCTGGGCGGTCAGCGACTCTACAGAGTGGGCGTCGCTGCCCGAGCCCTCGGCGGTGGGCTGCCGGGTTAGCTTGGAGGGCCGCGTGAAGATGCCCTGCAGGGCCGGGCACTCGAAGTAGCGCACTCCGCCCACAGCGCCATCATTCTTGCCCACAGGCTCGTCCAGCACCACGCCCGCCCACTGGCCGGGCGCAAACTGTGTCTCGCCCAGGTACTGCACCACGCCTGGCTTCACACCGTTCACCCACACCCGCTCGCCCACCTCAAAGTCCCCCACGAAGTCATCGCCCACCTCGGCCGCCTTCGGGCCAGGCTTCTCAGCGGCGACAGGTGTGGCCACGGAGGAGGGGCCCGAGGCCTGCTTGTGCAGGGGGGAGCCTGTGAGGGGAGAAGAGAGGCAAAGGTTAGGGCTGAGTGCGGGCTGGAAGGTATCAGTGCTGGCTACCTGATGGGGAAACTGAGGCAGGTATGGCTGGCAGTGTGGCCCTGAGCAGGTCTCATTCCAGGTGGGCCTTGAGCAGCCCCCAGCCTCTCTCTACTCTTCCAACCCCTCTGGAAAGTTCTAAGGATTGAAAGTTCAGAAAGTGCCTCCTCAGAAGCAATACTTTCCATTGCTCAGGGTCAGTCAAACTCAAGGGCCAAGAATGAACCCATTATTGAGGGTCACAAGCCGCCACCTCTCTACCCAGGTGGGCTCAGACCTTGGGAGTGGTCTCGGTGCCCCTCATCCTCTTCCCGAGACAGCCCCGGGCCCCACGAACGAGCTCCCAACCTACTCCTTGACAGCTGGCCACAGCCGCAGAGAAAGGAAGAACCAGGAAAACCCTCTCTCTCCATGCCCAAGCCTGCCCTCACTTCCCCCCTCCTTCCCAAGCCTGAAGCCTCAGGGCTGCAGAGACCAGGAAAAGTGGGAGGGAGGAGGGCAGGAGGAGGAAGCAGGTGTGCAACCGCACCCCTAGGACTGAACTTGGAGCGCTCTGGCCTGAATGGAGCCCCCTGCCCTCCTTACGGGAAGCATGACCCTGAGGCTTAGAGAGGCAAGGGCTCTGCCAAGGCCATGCAGCAGAAATGGGACTCAAATCCCGGGAGGGCCTACCTCCCTGGCTCTAATGTGCTCCAGACACCGAAAAGGAAGGGAAGTGACTTGCTCCAGGTCACTCAGGTAATGACCTCACCATGCTGCGTGTGCGTCTGGCTCCTGGGCCTGATGCTCCTGGCTAGGCATGAGCTCAGAACGCCTGCCTGCGTGCACCTCAAGTTCTGGAGGCTGCCCTTCCTTCCTGCCAGACCAAGCATCGAGCGGAAGGAGGTCTCATCTTTCTCCTCCTCTACTGCAGAGGCTGATGGGCTTGTGAAACACGGGTGGGGACAGGAGGCAAGCAGATGCTGAGACACCCCCATCAGAGATGCCGATGTTGCTGGTCCTTTCCACGGACAGCCCATGGAGGGGGCAAAGGGCAGCAGCTCCCACCGGAGTCCTCCTTTCATCCAAGGCCAAGGAGCCCCGGGCCCCAGGTCTGACTTGATGCCATCTCAGGGCTGGAAGCCAACCCCTAAGAACAGAGCTTCTGGGGACCGGGAAGCCACACCAGTCCCGGGCAGGCCCAGCACACCAGGCCGGCCGGCGGGTGCCCCCCCAGGGCACTGGCAGCGGTGGTGGGAAAACACATGGCCACCAGGGCCTGGGCAGCCAGGATGGGGGTCCTGACCGGGGGGAAGGGGGCTACCTGTGAGCTGGGCTCCTGGGAGATGAGTGAGCTTTGCTGTTGAGTGTGGTTGTCGGCACCGTCACCACACCCACCACAGAGGCTGACACGCGGCAGCTCACCTGACCCTCACGGCTAATCCTGAGAAGTGATTTTGCCGTCCCAGTTTCACCGAGGAGGGCACTGGGGCCCAGAGACCTCAGGTGCTTTCCCTGAGCTCCTCCGCAGTGGGCAGCAGAGCCGCGCTCTGGCCGAAGGCTCAGGCTCCGGGTGCGGGCACTTCCAGTCATCGAACAAATGTACACCGCCAGGCCTGCCCCCAAACCTGCAATCACCTCAAATCAACAGGCTCCCCTGAATGAACCTACTTCCCAGAATCCAGCTAAACCCTAGGGTCCCCTACAATCAGGAAATAACCTCATCTTATACGTCTTCCTGCGTAAGGAGGTCCCCCTCCATTTCTTGTTCAGAGGAGAACCCTGAGTGGGACCCTGGTTGGGGGGCTCCAAGGCTCTCGTCCGCTGCCGAGATCCTGCGAGGCGGAGGGAGTGGGCTCTGGCACCGCACAGACCTGCTCTCAAACCCGTCTTCCCCCCGGCGCCACTTGCGCCTCCTGACCTGCACCCGGTCCTGGGCCACTGTGTGACAACAGCAGGGACAGTGCCAGCTTGGCCCAGGCACGTGTCTGCGAGTATTACCGTCATTTTCATGAGAACAGTTTATACAAAAACTAAGGAACTAGAAAACAATGAAAAGCCACAAAAGGCCCAGGAGGCAGAAGGGCCTCCAGGCAGGTACTGGTGACCTTGGGCAAGTGGCTCTACCCCTGAGTAAAACAGACAAGAGACCCCAGGTGTAAGTTGGCTAAGACAGGCCCCGTCCTGCTGGTTCCCGGAGCCTGGGCCGAGCTCCGGGGTTCCTCGGTCCTGACCCAGGACAGTCCTGTACCGCAGGGAGATTCCGCCCACTCCCCACGGTGCCGGTCCCCCCACTGGGCAGCTGGGCACCTTCCTTAGGCAGCGCTGCTCTGAAAAGCAGTCAGAGGGGAAGGAAGTCACAAGTTAGTGGTGCCCTGGACTCCGGTCCCCTGGTTACACTACCCAAGGAGCCTGTGGGGCCCACCAACCGTGAGGCGTCAAGATTTTACTAAAACAGCAGCTGCCATCATGAAGTGCCTACTGCATGACCCCAACGGACTGGGGACTTTTTATGTATTATATTCTTATTGTGCAGATTAGAAAACAGAGATTATGCCCTGGCTGGTGTGGCTCAGTAGGTTGAGCACCAGCCTGTGAACCAAAGGTTGCTGGTTCGATTCCCAGTCAGGGCACATGCCTGGGTTGTGGGCCAGGTCCCCAGGTCGGGGTATGCGACAGGCAACCTATCAGATCAATGTTTCTCTCTCACATGGATGTATCTTCTCTTTCTCCCTCCCTTCCTCTAAGAAAAAGAGAAAAGAAAGAAAACAATAGGTTACGAAACTTGCCCAAAGGTACCCAGGCAGGAGTGGAGCCCAGCTGAGAGCCCCCCTTCTCCATGGCCCCCCATTAAGGCGCACACACAGGGCGGGTGCCTGGCAGGGTCAGCGCCGTTCCCACACCCCACTTCTAGGCACTTCCCCGCGACGAGGGCTGCGTGACGCCTGCTAACTGAACTGACTGGCTGGGGCCCAGGTGAGAGCCTTTCCCTGTCCCTTACAGAACAAAGGAGAGTCCCAGGTCGGGGGCACTCCGTTTTTCTTGGCTATTCTTGGCAAAAAACTGCCTACTCAGCTGTTCTCCTCCCCAGCTGTCCCAGCCCGGCAGACCCTCAGGTAATCTCCTTTCGCCCCCACCGTGCCCCTCCAGGGGCCACAGGCCCCGGGACCAGTTGTTTCAACAGCTGCTGAATTCCAGGCCACAAGCCTGTGGCAACCGTGGTTGGGCGTTCTGTCCACTTTCCCACTTTGGTGCCCTTGGCTGCCCGTCTCACAGGGGCAGACCCTCATCAAATCCCCCTCTCGCACGACAGAGCTTCAGCAGCCTGAGGTTGAGAAGGCATGGCAAACCCTTACCGGGTCCCCTTCCCCCCAGGGAGCCGTTATAACACACTGGCGAGGCCTGGCCAGGTCCCGTCCCATATCTGGGCCTCAGTTTCCCCATGGGACAACAAAGAACTGTGTCAGAAACAGCCAGGGTCCCGGCGGGCAGCGCGGTTCCGTGGGTGCCACCCCTCCCCCTGGGGGAGCTGCTGTGAGTGCTCAGAGCTGTCCCACAGGCCTGGCCGCCCCGCACGCCCTGGGGCAGGCTCTGGGACCTGAGGCCGGAGTGTGGGCTCTGCTCCCTCCAAGTTCCTGCACAGAGCAGCAGTAGCTCAGCAAACCGCCAAGGAGGCAAAGGGCAGCAACAGACTCAAACCTCGCAGGAGCAGCTGATCCTTTCCCAGACACAGGCATGAGGGAATTTATTGCCGGTTTCAAGTTCAAAGTAGAACTCTGGTGAAAAGGGCTAATGGACATGGTGCCGAGTGGCAGCAGCTGGTAGCCTGGTCCAACAGTGGGAGGGGGACCCAGATAAGAAGGCGCCCCTCCCTCCTTCCACGGGGGCTCACGTCCTGCCCTGCCCAGGGAGGGGGAGGGAGGTCTTCCATGCCTGCCCAACCTCAGCCAGCAGGGACCCCATTCACTGAGCACCAAGCGTCACGCTGGGGATGACAGGCAAGGCCAGACGAGGGCCCAGCAGGGCAGTGGGGTGCGGAGAACAAGAGGAACACAGCTATAGCTGGGCTGACCGCCTGCCTGACCGAGGAAGGGACCGAGATCTGAGGGCACAGGCTTGAGAAGGCTCGTGGCTGGTGGGGTAGGAGCACCTGCCCGAGCCTCGGCCCCAGACGGCCACAGACCTTGCCGCTCACTTCCTCAGGGAAGCCGGCCCTGACCGCTTCATCTACAAGCCGGCCCACCCACGTCGCCCTCTACTCCTTCATTCTTCCAGAGAGTTATTCCCCATCTTCACCCGTGCACACCTGCCACCCTGACTTAACCCAAAGCTCCAGAGGGCTTGTCTTCCTCTCCAGCACCCAGCCTGCGCCAGGTCGCGGCCCCCAGTGCCCGCTGAGCTGTCTGCTCAGGGCCAGGCCGCACTCCCAGAAGCAGGAGCCACGGTGGCCCTGTGCTGGGTGCAGGGAAGCTCTGTGTCCAGAGGTGCCGGCGTCGTGCCCGCTCCTTCCGCCCGGGAACAGGAGGCTCAGGGCCGGCAGCTTCGGTTGCCCTGGCCGCCCTTCGGCCACTGCGCCTCCCCACTGCCCCCCCCTTCTTTCCCCGAGCAGCGCTTTTCAACCTTTTCTTCTCATGGCACAAATAAACTAATTACTAAAAGTCTGAGGCACACCAAAAAATGCATTTTTTGCAAACCTGACCCAAAAAAGGTATAATTTTGATTCAGTCACACCACACAGCTATTGTTGTGTTGGCTGTTGCCATTTTTTAAAACTTGACACTCTAAGGGAAAAGGGGTCAGCCCCTGACTAAATAGTCAGGTACCACATGTTTTAAAAATTCGTGTGGCACACCAGTTGAAAATCACTGTTTTAGAAGAAAGCTAAAAACCCTCTTCTCTCTGTGGTGTGGTTCAGTGGATTGAGCACAGGCCTGCAAACCAAAGGGTTGCCAGTTCGATTCCCAGTCGATTCCCA